CACGCGAGGGGAATACTGTTGGAGTTTGCGCAGCCAACAGGGGATCAGCTGAGCGTGCTTTTTCCCTTAGTCTTGCTGTCGGTGCGTGTGTGCGTGTTTGGTTCGGCCACCCCGCACCCCAAGTCCTTTCTCCGAGCCAGTGCCCCCAGCTTAGTACCCGTGTGAGGGATCACATGGGGAAGAGCTATTGTTCCTGCGAAGTGGGCTGTCTTGCCAAGTGCCCAAATCCAACCCAAGCCGTGCAGCTTGGGGGGGCGGGCCCATGGAGGTTCGGGTGGCACTTTTCCCTGCTTGGATTGAGGGGCTCGGAGCGTCGAACTCTTGCCGGATCTCCCCGATGACGAAAACGGAGGGGGGAAGAGATGGCGGGAGGGAACGTTTCCGTTCGGCCGGAGTGCACCCCAGGCCATCCACTCACTCACTCACTCACTCACTCAGAAACGTGATCAGCCGAGGTCGAACTGTTGTTCCGACCAGGAGAGAGGGGCTGCAGACAGGGGACGCCTGATGTTGCTGGGTCAGGAAAAAGCATGTGTAGCATGTCGGTATTGCTCGTAGATTTGACTGTTTACATACGCACGTACACAAGAGGGGTCATATTGTCTGCTGTACGAACGGGTAGAGACAGAGATTCTATTGTCTCGCCGTCACATGCAGCTGTCGCAATACCGACGCTATGCCATCCTTGCACGCTTCCATACGCTTCCTGTTGCACACAGCAGAAGCCGTCATGGCGGTCCTAGCTGAGAATGACGCGTCCGGCATGTGGCGCCTGCAGCAGCAGGAAAAGATCAGACAAGGAGTCTGTCAGAATCCACTGCATGGGAACATCGAGAAAGAAGTTCTGCAGTGCAGCTGAGACGTACGTCCTTCTTGAGGCAGAACTTGCATGACAGGACATACGCATGTCGGGACAGGCGTCGCTCCCTTTCGCCCCAGCGGCCTTAGGAAGAGCTGGAGGCCTTCCTTCGTGTCTATCTTGTGATTGCAGCGACCGCCTGATTTGAGTTGATGTGAAGCGAAAGTTGCAGCTGGTACGACTCAGCCGTATGATTGAGGGGCCAGCATACCAAGTCCTCAGCCGAGTAGATGCAGGTAGCATTCTCCACTATTGTTACTGTAAACCGGCATCTCTCAGGAACAGGGTCAGCAAGCGCTAAGGAAACATGACTGCAGTATTCCTCTGGCACTGATGACAGTTGCCGGACTATTGCTCCGTTCCGTGCATCCGATTGCTTGGAGTGCATCTGCAGCTTCGATGAAGCTCCAGCCAAAGCGGAGCCTATCATGCCTCCGACGGAACAACATGATGGGCACCGTCTCTCGGGCCGCAGCCGTTATCGATGGTTTCTTCGGCAAGCGATTCAGTAGCCGCGGCCTGACAGCTTATGGGCCACGCCAGCCAGTGCTGGTGGCTATAGGGACAAGAAGGACACCATTGACCACCAGCACCAGCGCCAAGACCAAGATGAAGACCAAGACTAAGACCACGAGCGACAACAACAACCACAACCCCCCAAGCAGCATTAAGGAGTCGCATGGATTCAAGGTGACATGACATCCTAGCGCAAGAGCACCCGCAACACATTCCGCAACCTGCAAAAACTGTGTAAGCTTGCTGTGTGGAAACTTCTGTCAGAATCGTTGACAGCAAACTCGGGGGAAGCTCTGCGTTTCCCCACAAGGACTATGCGCGAAAGCACAAACCCAGCGAGTCATACAAATTGAGACAAGGGGACTGCCATTTCGCTAGACTCGTGCAATTCGGAAGATTGGATGCTACTAAGCCTCCATTGCAACCCAATCCCCCAAGCCGCCGATGTCTACCGCTGCCACACTCATCATTGCTGCCGCCGCCATCACCACCATCACCATTACCACCAACACCACCCCCAACGCCACCACCGACAGCGACATCGACAGCAGCGACAGCAACAACGGCAACACCAACAACAACAGCAGCAAGAAACGATTAAGACAAACAAGCGATGCTGCTGTCAACAGCAGCGACGACCGCATCCACTAGTCACTACCGTATGAACTGGAGTGCAAGTTTCAGGTACAGAGACGAAACGTGCGAATGCACCACATGCTGCAATGGATGTCAACTTGGCGATCAATATCAGCTAACCAGCCGGACCCTTCGATGCTGGCTTACATATGCGTATATTATGAGGCAGGCGTAGAGAGATCTAAGGACGTGGCCCAGATCGCAGCAGCGGCATCTCCACCACAACATGAACGCTTGGCCCGGGAAGCGTATTGAACCCTTGCTTGTGCAGCTTTTGTAGTCCATGCATTTGCACAGGCCTTAGAGACATCTTCCAAACATCACGAAAGAGGCAGTGCTACCAAAAGCCGTGTGGCATGGCGTGGTTGTCGCGAATGCTTCAGCTGCAGCCGGCAGGAGCGAGTTCTGGAGCTTTTGGTCTGTTGCTCGTGCGTCTTGTCTTCGAACTGCCCCCGGCAGAAAGACCCACGACCAAAGAGCTTCTTCTTCACTTCACCAGAACGACTGAACATGGATGCGGCCGTGCGGGTCTGTTTGCGGGTTCTTTCGGGTGCGTGAGTGCGTGTGTGCGGGTGCATGGTGGGTGCATGTGGGTCTGGATATGGAGATGGAGCATGCGGGAACCGGCAGCGCATTTTTGTGATCAGTCTCGGTGCCAACGCAGGATCGGCATGACTTTGGCTCTCTCGGGCCTCTTTTGAGGATCCCTGAGTCGAGAACAACTTGAGGTTGATCCTTTCAGGTGTTTATCGCAGCAGGGACTCTGGACGTAGTTGCCGGGAAGCCATAACATGCCTAAGGCCCTAGCTTCCCGCTTCTCATATTTGAACCATGGCCCCCAACCCGGAGTCAGAGCTACAGACATTTTGACGTTCTTGCAAAACCTCTGTCGACCCTGCCCGCTTCACGAGTATCTGGAGGATCCTCCATTCCCGGGCGAGTCCCAGGAAAGGCTCTACGTAATCTAACGCCGCAATCTTGTATCGCGTGCCTAATCACATCTGCCGCTCTGCGGCACCGAAGTCTCCTTCGAGAGACTTCTGCCATGCAAACTTTCCCACAATGCTTTCAGAACTGCGGTGTCATCTTGTCAGCTTGCCTCCTGAATTCCTGCACGAGATGGACGGGGAGCTTTGCGCACACAGGGCCAAGACATCTTCGTTTAAGTCCGAGGTTACAAAGTATTCGCCACAGGCTACGACTTGCGAGCCCTAGGCTGTAGTCGTGTCGGATTCACCGGCACAGAGCCCTCACACCGTATGTACTTGTACATGGAAGTGACGACCTGAGCCCTCAAGACTTAATCAAGATGAAACCCCAAATTTGCAACGAAGCCCTATAACCAAATCTCCTTCATCCCCCGTGGCCTTCGTCCACTTCCAGCTCCCCCTTCGGCCGCATGACCGCAGAGATGGAGACGAACAACTGGGACAGGTGCTTAGTATGGCGGTGCATGCATACCTACCCACCTACCCACCTTCTCACCTGCATGCCACCCACCTGCCACCTACACACCCACCATCACCCACCGACCCACTCACCCAACCAATCAATTACCGATCTACATATATATATATATATATACATATATATATATGTATATATGTATATGTATATATATATATATGTATATATATATACATATGTGTATATGTCAATACAGATATACACATACAGCGCCCGTTCACGGACAAAGTCAAGGTCATTCCGCCAGGTAGAGTTTTGCGTGAGATGGGGCCGCCTGTCACATGGGTCGTTGATGGATAGTGTCTTCTGCTAGACCAGGGCGAGGAATTTTGATCAGGAAGTAGCTTGGCTTGGCTGGTGCGATCATGCTCGGAGAAACTCCAAGCTTATATAGTACTCAGACTCACAACTAGCGCGCAAGAGAGGGATAGAGTCGGATAGAGACAGAGAGAGAGAGAGAGAGAGAGAGAGAGAGACAGACAGAGAGGGAGTGAGCCAGACACTCACGCAAACATACACACACACACACACACACACCATACACACAAATGTGCGTGCTTGTATATACACAGATATGTGTCATCTGAAAAACAAGCAGACGTCCTGTTCACATTTTGTGCTGCCCTGATGCCTCGTATCTTTTCCTGACTTTAACTATCTCAGAAGCACTTGCGCCTAAGCGAATCTAACCATGGTTACCGCAAATATACCAGTTGGACGTTTGCCAGCAGCCAGGTGAATAATTTCTACAGGTCCACCTTGCTTAGTTTGTAGCATTCAACCATGGCCTATGCTTATGCTGCATGCTGCCTTGAAACTGCTCTAAGTCAACTGCTCTAAGTCAACTCGATTGCTCAATGCGACCATCGGTGGACAGCTGTGCCCCCGGCCAGGATGATAGCCAGCATCATGCCACATGTCCTGGGCTTGTGTTTTTTGGCATGAGCAGCGCTGTTGGCTGTGGGCAAATGGGAGCCACATCCCTTTCCATAAGTCCTCAAGGCTTTTTCAGCCCAAGTGGCAGCAGGGGTTGCAGCAGTACGATGGGAGCCAGAATCATCTGGCAGCCAAGGAGGCACAGGATGAGACCCATCCCGTACTTGACCTGAGTCTGAGTTTTGTATCAAGACAGGCTTGCGTCGAGGCCCGTGGTTCAATCCACCTCTCTCTTCCTGAGAACTCCATGGATCAACACTCGCCATACATTCATCAAGCTCAGCAAGCCGCTCATCTTCGGGCTGATTTCTGCACCACTCTGCTGCTCCCTTTCTGCTGGCAAGAAGACAGCACAGCACACCTTTTTGCTATCTGCCATCCCTATCAGAGCTCAACTGTGCAGATGCGCCAACCTTCAGGGAGAGTGCGCCCCCCCCCCCCCCCCATGTAGACACATCCTGCTGATTCTGGTCACCGTGCTCGCGCAGCTTGATGTATCTATGGATTTCGAGCCTGAATTGAATATGCACGCAGCTCGGACTTACACCTTGGTGTATTGGTAAGACCTGTCATGAGCAGTAACTGGTCATATACATACATAGGACTTGCTTCTTTGACCCTTCTCTGTCTGAGGAAGTTGTTCAAGAACATCCCCGCAAGCCCTGCCGTCTGCGCATAGCTGCCGGCGACGGGGCTTCAAAGCCGTTACCTGGGAGGCACACATTTCGGGTGCACACTTGGGTGAGCAATCCCAAAGGGTGCCAGGGCTCTGCAGTTGCATGCGCGACCAAACTTATCACGATGCGAGGGGTTGAGTTTCCCGGCAGCTTGCGCACAAGGGAGCTGCGGCAACATCTTGCTCTCTTAACCAACGCTTCCTCATGCAAAGCCAATCAGCACACGCTACGTTACATCAAGATCATCTCCATGTAGAAAGCCAGGTTTCGGCATCGGCAATGCGTTCTGGCAGGAGGTCCTTTCAACATCAGATGTCTGATTCCGTTCGAAGGAAGCGTCATCGAAAAGCCAGAAGAAGCTCTGCCTCGTGATGCTCGGATTGTACGTGATCTCCAGACCGTAGCCACTGCCGAACCGCGCTGTGCCAAGAAAAGAACCTTCGGTGTCCTCGGATGGCAGCGCGAATTCTTCTGAAAAGCAGCTGGTGTCAGCAGAAACACCAAAGGCCCAGCATGGAATTGCTTCGGACCGCATGCCTCTTGGGCATACAGCGGCAAAGAGGTCTGAGTCCACGTCTGTGTACACTCGTCAAAGAAAACACGAGGAGATGAGTTGCCTGTGCCGACCACGCCTTCGAACGCAACTATTCTCATATCCTGCTCATAGGTATGATAAAAGTACTGCAGCTTAGCAAGCCTTCAAGAGTCCCGGACTTAGCCTAACCTGCCATCCTGCTTGGTAGCCCATTGTAACACTGAATGGCCTCGTCGCTTTCAAGCGGCGACTGGCATCAAGGATAGGTTCAGATGCCATTCTGCGTAAAGCCACAGGATCCTTTGCAATCTCCATCACCTTGGCAAGCAGAAGCGGAACTCTGATGCGGCGTCTGAGATTTTCCGAGTAATGCCGACAATGGCGACCGACGACAAGATGGCTTCTTTCAATCACGTCAAGAAGACTGCATGAAGACATGAAAGCTGCAGCGGCTTTCTTCCGTAGGTCCTGAGGAGCGAACGTGGTCTACCACTCGGTGAAGTCCTCTGCAGGCACAGCTCTGCACGCAGAGTGTCTGCAAAAGCCACCTTGCTCGACAGCCCGGCCTTCTAGTGGATCGCTTGGAGAATAGTCGTCTGCACGCCCCTCAGCCTTGCAAAAAGGGGCTGCAGCGGCTGTTGACCAAGCTGCTTCTAGCGTGTCGATGCGTATCGTTTCAGTAACAAGGGCCTGGATGTCGTTGGCATAGATAAAGGAGCTTGGATTGAAGATGTCCAGAACCGCCCTGCGCAGCCCAAGACAGGGTTTTGACATGAAGTGGCAGTCGTTTTGAACCCGATCGCTGGGGAACACGAAGCGAAAGAATGTCGGACAGGATGGCAGTTGTCAACGGAATAGCATGTGTTTCTTGTTCTCTGGATCGAGGATTTACAACTGCAGCATGACATTCTGAGTATACTATTGCAGTCACGGGCAGCCTGGATCCCCAATAGATGGGGATGCACCCTGCCAGGAATGCGTTGACAATCTTCTCGGTCACGTATCCTGCGGTTTAGAGTCACTTAGCGGCTCCGATTATGTAGAAACATCGCAGACCCGACTCTCGCAACAATTCCGGAGCTAGGACAATGAATGCTATTGCTCCTTCTCCAGCCACGCCAAAGCGATTCTGACCAAGCTGACATCGCCGGAGAATAAAGCAAACGGTTCTACAGGAGCAATATTATGTGTAGAAATAAACACACGCCCACACACTCACACAGCGGAGCAAAACCACGGCTGAAACGAGTGACGGAGGTTGCCTTTTGCATCGAAGGAAGCAAACGCACTAAACACCAACTTGCCCTAAACTTTAAACTGCCCTAACCATCCCTAACCCGAGTCCCTCGTCCTGGGACAAGCTTGTTCTCAAAGACCAGCGCAAAGGTATAAGGCCGTAGAAGCTCCACTGCTTCGTCAAGGAAGGATGCTGCCAGGTCCCGGGTGTCATTCCGCACCCTGTCGCGTCAAAGAAGGATGCTTGACCTACAGTAGCCTGGTATAGTAGAGTGGGGTATAGTGCAGACAGTGTAGGGAAACTGTAGTATCCGATCGTATACCAGAAGAATGTGTAGTATAAAATGCAATTAATGGTACTGGTCTGGCATGGTGTGGTAGTGTAGTGCAGTATACTCAGCATTGCATCGTACCGTACTGTATCGCATTGCATGGCGCGGCATAGAAGTATAGTAAGGGACATTATTACTGATAGTATTACAAATCTTATCGTATATAAAAAAGTATGGCATTGCATGGAGGGGCATGGCAGGGAATGGCATGGCATCGTATCGCTCAGTACAGTACCGCAGTCCCGAGCAGTTCCCATGCTTGAACCTCCTGCTCAAGAGCCTCGCTAGGCCCGTGGCATCGCCTCCGATGCCCGGAGGAGTAGCCAGCGCACCGCGACAGCGCCACCGGCGGCTCTAGGCCCCTCCGCGCGGCGGCCTGGACCAGGAGATCGAAGATCCTTTCTCGATGGTCGACGCAGGCCTCGTGCGCTTCAACTCTGAACTCCGCACTCCTTCGAGACACCGGTACCACGAAAGCCAACAGCCGTAAGACTCTTTAGCGTCCATCTAACATGTATATCTTCTTCCCAGGAGTCCCAGCCCCTAGCTGTTAGTCGATATTAGTCGATAGACGGGTTGAAACTTTGTGCAATCGCGAGACGTACGCCATGTAAGCCAGAAAGAAGGGCTTGCGCTCTGGTGAACGCGGCCGCGTTGACAGATCCAATGGTGTGTGCTTCTTTCGTCCAGCGAAGGAGGTCGATGCAAAAGGAACATACCTGCGGCGAGACGGCGTGTCTCTGCATGACCCTCCCTGTCTAGAAAAACCCGCTCGCTTGTAACTTCCATAGAGGGAAAGAGAGAGAGAGAGAGAGAGAGAGAGAGAGAGAGAGAGACAGAGAGAGAGAGAGAGAGAGCGAGAAGAGACAGACACATCGTACAGACACACACACACACATGCGTACATCTATCATACCTGTATATGTACACATATATATAATGAACACAAATACGCCCACGTGTTCGCATAATATATACACCTCTGTCCGTCACTCCCTTGCCCTCCTCCCTGCATACCTGCGTTTCTGGCTACCTGCCTATGTACAAAACATGTGGACATACCTACATGAGGGTTGCATACATACAAATACATATACGAGCTTACAAACACTCATACGTACATGAATGCATTGCAGGATTAACAGACTTACAAACTAACAGACACACACACACATGCACACACATACATACATACATACATACATAGATAGTTACATGCATACATAGATTCCTGCGTGCCTGCATTGCCTGCATGCATACATGAAATAACACATGCATACATACACTACACATGCACAGAGACATAACAGCGCAAGCACAAACATAAACACGCACACACACACATCTATATATATATATATATATATATATATATATATATATACACACATACATATACACACACATGCATACACGTATATACGTACATGCGTGTATACGTACATCATCGTACATCCATACGTCCATGCATGCATGTAGGCATGCATGGCTAATTACATACAGACGTACAGGCGTATACAAGCACGAACCCATAACCATACATACCTACACGCACACAGACACACATATATATATATATATATGTATATATATATACATATATATATATATACATATACATATATATATATATATATATATATTCATAGACACAAGCACACGTGCCCGTGCCTGTCAGTCGGTCTGCATCTCTGTCCGTATGTGATTTGTATGCAAACAAGTACGAACGCTTGAACATGTACACATATGTATATTCATATACTTATGTACATATATATATATATATGTATGTATATATACATATATATGTACACATGCATGTGTGCATGTATGTATGTATGTATGTATGTATGTGTGTCTGCATGTATGCATGTATGTATCTATGAGTGTATGCATGTTTACTTGCCTTTCTATGTCTGCATGTGTGCACAAAGTGTATGTAATGCAAACATGCATGCTGTCATGCACAAATGTACACGCACACACACACACACACACACACACGCATGCACACACAGAGGCACACACACACAGAGCTGTAGTTATGTATGTACGCATGCATGCATGCGTGTATGTGTATCTGGACCATTGTATAATTGTATATGTTTATATGTATATATACATATACATACACATACACATACATACACATATACACATACATATACTTATTTCTTTACAGTTGTGTCTGCGCAGTATACGTATTAAGACATATTCAGAACAACGCGCTTTTGCACCGATGCGCAGACTCACATTTCACGCTCTGCCTGAGCGCATGTGATTTTTTCGGCCGGGTGGCAGGACCCTGGGAGCGCTCCCAGAGATCTCGCGGTCATAAACCTGCGCTGCCACAGTGGCAGGAAGGATCAGGGCTTCGGGTCATTCTCGGAGGCTCGGGGTGCTCCTGTTCAGATAGTAGAAACTGAAGTGGGGAATTGGCAGGCACCCCCCCCCCCCCCCGTACACTTCTGCACGTAGGCAGCCTTGGCGCAAACTCGACGCTGCTGAGCACGCCATGTCCCGTATCGGGACTTGCAGCGGGTGGCCGCAAACGGCGACAAAACACCCAAGTAGACGATCTGGTACTTGCCCAGGACCTGCAGGCAGGCCAGTTCCAAAGATGAGACAGAACCTGAACATATACCGAGCATTGACTCCCTGTCAGAACTGTTGGGCTGCAGACGGCCTCGGCCAAAGTGCCAGCATCACGTCCCGGACCTATCCCCGCCTGTCGATGTCGGGCAAGGGCAGCAAGGGTTCAGCATGCCGTCTATTTCTGTCTCTTTCAATCCGTGAGCTCATGGCAAGGATCCTGGCTTGCCTCGTGATCCACATAGACCAGAGCCCCCGGAAAAGGCATTCCCGGCAACGAGTCGCGGGCAATCAGCACGTCAGGACAGCGAATCCCTGACGGGCGAATATCACAAGATACGCACCTACACTGCACCGAGACGCATGACTGTTTGTTCAAGAAAGTCACGACCCTCTTTCATCAGAAGACTGGTCTAATGGCTTGTAACTACTCCGCGCAACTCACGGCAGCAACAAGCACATTGCATCTCTTCAGGCGACCCTCTGGATACATCTGGCGGCTACACTCTGGCAGCCTTCGAGAACATGGAAATCTCTGTGGTCAGCCCAAAGATGACCTCAACTGCCAGCCAAAGGCGAGCTTTACGAAGCCGCTCTGGGACGCTCAAGCCGGATGTGGGCTCTGACACTTCCAAGGCAGATGCCAGGGTGCTACAAGTATCTGCACACAACCGATGTCAATCTACAGCTGCCGCAAGCAATCTTGGCAGAAAGCATCACGAATAACAACATGCAGTTTACGTCAAAAACCCATACATCTGTCCCAAGTACTGCCTAGACTATTGAAGCTTGGATCATGGCTTGGTGCAAGAGGCTTGTGAATGCTGGAAGACCGTAACCGTGAAACTGGTCTTCGAAGGGGTCAACGGAAACCATGTATTTCCTGCCATCGAGAATAGCGGAATAGCAAGTCAACACTGACGCCCTTAGACTCCTGTGCTTTTCAAGCATCAGGGCAGTTTATGCTTCGCTGCGTCGTGCCTGCCAGTCTCGCTGACGGGACCACCATGAAGAGCGACGAGCTTGCCGCTGCCAAGTGCAAAGGTTTCGGAGATTCTCTGCAGCAGATGCAGCCTTGGCCGCAGTACCCTATGATACCGGCGGGAGTGTGAATGTAGAGGGCAAACCGTGTCTTTGCCGAGTGACGACTCTGATGCCCACATACCAGCCGACAGCAAATTGGGTAGACTCTCTTCCTGCGTCACCTTAGAGACTCGGGATCAGGCAACTGCACAACATACTGCACGCTCGTGATCTGGCTTCAGATTGGTAGGGTGTCTCTGGGTAGCTGATGTCTCGCAGGTAATCAATCCGAATGTCACCTCGTGTGCTTGCAGCTTGACACTTGCTCTGACTGCCATGGTTATTGGAACACATGAGGCACACCTTTAATCAGGTGTCTCTCTGCATTGCCGGACAATTTGAAATTGCAGGAATGCTCATGGTTTCTGCGGAAAACTAAGGGCACCAACTGAAAACTGCAGAAAGCTAGAGAAGGCTAGGCAAGCTAGGAGACGCTATGATAAACTAACTATATCTTTTAACGGCCCCGCACAAGCTCGGTGTTCCCATGACAGTTACAAGCGGACTTGATTTTTTCAACGTGTGCATATCCTCGGGCCCTGGTTTGCTAGGAAAGGCCAGGAATAGCCAGAAAAGGCTACCTCGATCAAGAACATCATAAACAACTACCAATTCCTAGAAAAGACTTGGCAAAACTAGAAAACCTAGAAACAAACTAGATTTTTCCTGGTCTTCGGTCGGGACGGCTTCTGCAGAATATCAAGTCTTGGCCATGGAACCATTTAGTTCGTTTACTCGTGCTTCACACACAAAGAGGTACCTCATCAAAGGCTTACCTTATACGTTCTTAAGAAGTTGTCGTGATGCCATGCAACCTAGCCTCAAATTGAGCAACGCGAAGGAGGTGTGCTTGTGTGTGTATGTGTGTTTGCAAGACTGCCTGATTTTACAACACTACCTGTGCAAGCTTACAAGCAGACTTGAAGACACTAATTCAAAAATCCCCTCCCAAGAACCAAGCCTCGGCGCTGGTTGGCAGCGCTCAGGATGGAGGGCGCGAGGGAGGCATGCGTCGGACCCCGATGCTGGGCGCAGGAAGAAGTCCTGGCAGCGGGAACGTCTGCAGCACACGGTACAATGTTAAAAAGCTTAGCTTGGGTGTAATTCGCGCATTTCTACCCACATGAGGAGAAAGGAACTGCAGGAGGAACCACTTCCACATGCATGTTGCAAGACCATCTCCGCCGAGGCCAGAGGCGGGGGGGTCTTGGTCAGGTTCCATGGCAAACTGGTATTCCCCTCCGCATTTATCCCAGGCTCAGTGAGCGTCTTGTTTTCGACTTTCTGGCTCAACTAGGAAGAGCTGCCATTTTTACAGTGCCTGCCCAAGTGTTTGGGCTTGGGTTCCACACGTTTCAACACCCTCTCCCCCCCTCTACCCCTTGTGTCGTGACCGTTTACAGCGCTAGCGGTAAAATTGCAGTTCTTACCACTACAAAGTTCATCCTTTGCAGGTCAATATCAATGGGGTGAGGTTTCGAATAGGCGTATAGTCGTACAGTAGGGTCTGCGTTCAACAATCAGCCAAGTTTTGAACCTCAACCCTCCACCACCTCGGCTAGTCCACTGCTTCCGGTAGAGTCCGGCAGAGCTTGAAGTTCTGAGACTGGTAGTACTAGTACCATCAGGCACAGCCAATGGCCTGCGTTCTTGCGTCAAGTAAATCACACTCCGAGGTGTGTTCCGGTCAAAGAGCATCCTGCATTCGGGTGATCTCTAAGACCTGGTGCCTGCACTGGCCAGAAGCATGACAGTCGTCCCTGCAAGACAGAGAGGGTAACATCTCGAAGATTTCCAGCGCTCCAAGCTCCAGTCTTGCCTCTCCCTTCAACTGTCTCCAAGCCTGAAGGCCCAAAGGCTCCTCGTAGCTGGCCACCAGGCCCTGCAAGAAGCCCAGGAGATCCGGATCTCGTCTGGCAAGGCAGGACGCCGAGGCGGCATAGCCCACCAAGGGAAGCCCAGCTCCCAGGAGGCAGCCCCGGCCTCTGAAGTCTCTCTAAGGCAACATCATAGTCATAATGACAGGGGGCCAAGGGAGGGGAGCGGGGGGTGGATCTTTTGAGTTGGGGTATCTTGTGTTGTTGACATCGTATGTCGAGGTCTGCAACCATTAGACGAGATTGGGGATGTATAATTATGGAGTTTCAGCGAGCACGAACCACACCTGCTAAATCTTATGCTGTCAGGCTGGGTTTGGCAGACAGGTCGGGTCACTTGAAGAAGGTCTCACGATCCAAGAACGTACATGGCGGATAACTGAAGGACATCTGCCGGGCTTGGTTGCAACGAAGGCGTTCCTCAATCCTTCTGCGATAGTTGCGGAGGCCTTCCCAGCTGACAAAGTTCTTCGTCGGGGCATTCAGCCAAGCACCCTGATCCTGCAATATGCTCCGCGTCGAAGCCCAACAGAACAACCACCTAATTACCACGTACACCTGTTGCTCCTAGATCACGAGATGGAAGGACCAGGCCAAACAAGGCATCATTCACAATTTGTCTGTCGCCCGCTGTAAAAAAACACCACTCAAATTCTTGTGATTCAAAAACAGTTTGGCAACCCTACTCCGACTACTACTCGTAATGGCTATGATGCTAAAACGACGAAAACACAATACATCACACAGAAAACTCGATCAAAGACATGCGGCGCGCGAAGCGTGTGGTGGCCACAGCCCCTTTCAGGGCCGCCGTGGCATTCGGGCTGGATAGGCCCCGGAGGAGTTCCACCGCAGTGTTCTCGACGTCAGAGCCTCAATTGGATTGGACACGAAAACTTCTTGTCAGGCTTCCATAAGGGAAGCCTACAAGAGTTCCGACAAGCGGTTCTAGAAGGCTTCCTCTACTTTGCAATGAAAACAAAACTACGACAGCGATATCAAACCTTAAACGCTTACGAACCTCATGGATGATTAATTGGCTGGGGCGGTATTTTTTACTCTGTACCAGGCAGGACGAAGACAGAAGAACCGAGCCACACCCGGAACATCAGCAGCCACAGCTGTAACAAGAGTACCAGCAAAAATGAGCATAACAAGAAACTGCAACAACATCATTAAGGTAGGCACACAAACAACAACGCAGCGTTTCAACAATCGCAACAGCGACAACAGCAGCCTTGTACACATGTGGCGTCATAGCAGGTTTATGCTATTATGTGTGATTTTGTTGAGAACCCTTCGTCTGACAGAAGACCTGTCAGAACTTTGTGGAGCAAGATGCGTACAGTTGCTGAATCAACTGCAAAATGAGCACCACATATCTTTGTGTGATCAAACCCAGGAAAGGCAACATTAAGAGACTGACATGCAACCGTACCCAACGGCCGCCAACTCAAACATGCCCATCCCCGAGCACCAGAACTGTTCTACAGGACAGGTCCCTTGATCCTAGTCCGAACCCGAAGTAAATGGTCCGCGTGATCCTCGTCATGATGTCCGAATGGGACAACGCTTGATACCAATTGCAAGACTAAGATGACATGTTGGGCTTTCTGCAGCGGGAAGCTGAAGGCGACTTCGCCCCCGCGCAACGTCGCATCTTCGTAACGCAGTCGAAACGACTCGGCCTCCTGTGTGCAGCGATCCGTCGCAGCCGTGCCGTCTCGCGAAAGCCTGTTGTGTTTGGCGAGAAAGGGCTGGGGATTCTGCTAGGGTCCACGATATTAAAGAAAGAAAAAGGCATTCATTTTCACTAAATGGCAACGAAAGGCTGCATATTTTCAAGCCTGTTGGTTAAGTAGCCAACGCTATCGATCTGTTCCAATCTTTGTATCTATCTTGACAGTTGCATCTATACAAACATAGCTGTCTACATCGATAGTTAGACATGTACCTAGCCTTGCGAGTGCCTGGTGTTGCTGTGCACCTCTGCGCATGCATCGATCCCTCTCTCGGTTCCTCCTTCGTTGTGTGCAGGCCCTTCGAAGTGGCAACCTGAGAAGCCAATAGCTCTGAATCCAACCGATTTGCACAGAAACTCGTAACCCCAAGAGTTCCTAACCTGAAGAAATTTCAGGAACCCTGAGAAGCCCTAAGAAGCCCTAAACCGACCAGGCCAGGCGCTTGTAGGCCAGCAAGCCCAAGAGCCCGTACACAGGCCATCCGCTGCTCAAGATCTGGGAGGCTTTGGGGTGGAGTTGGGGTTCATGTTCGAAACGGATTATGGAAAGATCATCTGCTAGAGACTTTGCAAGGCAATCTCTTGTCCATAATACATATATTCTTAGAGTGCGGATCAACCTCGCTTAAGCCTGCCTTGGACAGAATATCTTGCCCCAAATTGCAAACACGAATTATGCCTCCGTTCTGCTGCCAGGACACAGTGGTGGCATTTGCATATGCCCAGGGAAGATCCTCTGCTTCCAATTCCTCGCGCCGTTCTTCGGGACTGCGGAAGATGAGAAAGGCCACGCGTAGGCTGTAGTGCCTGATGGTGACAGTCACCCTTGTACACTGGAACTGGGAGCATCGATTCTACAGCTGGGCTTGGCGTGCAATCGGGTTCCGGGCGACGGGATATGACGGAGATTCCGGCTCTATATAAGCTGACTGCAGTTCAGGTGCCCCAGCATGCAAACTTCAGGCGTCAAGGAGGACACGGAATCCGCGATGCTCTTGAAGGCCTGCTGACTTGGCACATTTGCTCTTTCAATGTTTTGTAGACATCGTCGTCAGGTGCTTTTCAGACACGGTGGTGTATTATGACCCCAGCAGATTCGAGAACTGGGCTTTCGGGCACCTGCACAAGAGAGAAACAGTACCAGAAACTCAAAAACATAAACCGAAATTGTAATCGTGGCAGCAAAAGCCGGGCTGGTACTGGCAGTTGTGCTTCAGCATTAGCAGTAGCACGAACAGCTGTCATGGTGATGTTCGTGAGAAAGAAACAACTAGGAGCAGTAGCGTGATTGCTTGTCGATTATGCTAGCAAGCTATGCTTTATTCCAGTCTTTGTACTAGGACTACAGCTGCTGCTGATATTGCCAGAAGATGTTCTTCCCTGTGTCGAGACATATTGAGCAGGCCTCGAAGCCCTTACGAGGTTCCACGAGGATCTGCACAAGAATCTCCTGTTCGGACAGACAGGGATCTAAGAGCGCGTGACGTGTCCCGGCTTAACCAATATGGGCCTGAATCACAGAATCCTTCAGATTTGTGATTTGGTGTGCCCGAAAAATATTCAAAGAAGCAGCAATCTTCTTAAACTCTTCCTCCTATCATTAAAGGTCCTCCTACTATAAACATTATGCACGAGACAGGCTAGTTTTGACTAGGCAACTTACTCGGCACTCAAGGACCTTAAAACTGAGAGCTGTTGCTGTATTTTCTATTCGCTCAGGTGAGGGTTGGGAACCTACAGCTTCTCACAGTCTGTACGAAGCTCTCTCTCTCTCTCTCTCGCTTCTTCTCTCTCGCTGTCTCCCTCCCGGAAACTCATGTTGTATCTTCCCAGCCGAGTTGTGGTACTATTGCTGGTGGAAGTGGCAGTGCTCGTAGTCGTGGTAGTCGTCGTCGGCGCAGCAGCAGCAGCAGCAGCAGGACTAGGAGCAGGAGCAGGAGCAGGAGCAGGAGCAGGAGCAGAAGGAGGGGCAGCCGCCGTAAAACCAACATAGGGGGGGAGCAGCAGTGCAAGATCCCTACCCACGTCATGTTGCATCTCGGTCCTTCAGATGCTGCCACGAGCCCAGTGGCTCCGGCAGCAGTACATCTTCGCAGCCGAGGCCAGGGTTCATGGCACTCAGCTTTTGAAATCCTATTTCCAAGGCTCTTGGTCTACAATTGAAGTAATATAACGAAGCTTGGGATGACTTGCTCATGACCCGCGCGCAGAGCCTTGGGTTCAGTACTCTCTATTGTGCGGTGCAAAGGTGCAGGAGCTGAATCTTGCAACCGCTTCGTTCTTTCTCTCCCTGCTCTTCTTCAGGCTTGTATAAGCCTGCATGCTGCGAGCTGTAAATTCGGGGACATGGCTGCAGCCCCGGAGGAAACGCCCTTTGTACTCGTGTGGATGAGGTGTTTAGGATCGACCTCCGGTAGATGCATCAGTGCTTGTAGCATCCATCGCTGAGTGCCAAACAAGAGGGAAATGGAACAGCAGATCCTGGCTGAGCATGTACCTCAGGCGGTACTCCAGCCGATTCCCTGCTGAAGAAACGTTCTCGCTTGTTCCCATGTTCGTTCTCAAATTCCGGAAGAAAGCGGTTGCATACCACACTTTCAGATGCCTAAGCCCCAAGTCGGGACTCCCAGGCTCGCGAAGCCTAAACCCGGAACCCCAAACCCCTAAACCCCTAAACCCTGAACCCTAAACCCTCAAGCCTGAACCCTAAACCCCCAAAGCCTCAAACCCTAAAGCCTTGCCAAGAAACAGCTCCGGCAACGCAAAGGCGGCCATCGCCGACGAGCTGAAGGCTACGAAGGGGGACCTGGAGTCTAGGTTTAGATGTATCATATGCCGTGATACTGTATCTTATTGTGGTCTATACAATACGGTATCTATCATAAACAAATCTTGGTATGCTATCCCGTATGATCTTATCTTATCGAACGTTGTTAACATGCCCTGTGTGATATCTTACCACATCCTGATCAGAGTACGTATTGCTACTATTCTATTCCTTTCATTCTATTCTGTTCTGTTATTGTATATTCTAGCGTACTAGGCTTCAGGGTGTGGATGTTTTTCTAAACTGTACATGAAGTTCCCGTCAACATGTTCAGGTGACCCGAGCACTGGAAACCAAGATCTGGACACTTTACCCCGCATCTCGCGGTAAGCGCGAACTAGGAATCCTGATCGCAGAATCGTGAGTGCAGACGAACCCTTCTCTAGCATACCTTCCTGTGGGCCCAACTTAAATGACTCCTAGACCTAGCTTGAACTGAATTTTGCACTCAAGGTGGTGCGGGCGAACTCCTCGCTCCTTCAAGGGCAAGCTGTCATAGAAAGATGCCACTGCTCAAAACTCACCATTCCAAGACTTCAAGCCCCTGCTCTGTACGTGTACAAGACCAAACCCAAACCTTGAACTCCGAAACTGTGAAGCCGCCTCAAACTCCAGATCCTAAACCCCTAAGTCTGATCACGTGACAGAGCCTGGAAAACTAGCAGTCACTAGCACCAGCAACCAATTGCAATCTCAGCAGCTGGATCTCTTCGATCTTCGTCAGCACCTGAGACCGATGATGCTCTTTCTTGGTCCCTGGCCCCTGCACCGAAAGCGGTTCCAAATCTGGAGGTGTGGTCGAGTCCCCCTGGAACGCCCAAACAGCTTTGGCCACATACTCCGAAGTCCAAAAGCCTGTTCCTAGGATCCTCTGCGTCCCCTCAGATGGACAAGCTTTAATCTGTGGGCGAAAGGAAGTGTGGTTAAAGTCAGAAGTATCTAATCATGACTTTGGGATGTTTCGTCGACTAAGATGTAGGACCAAGGCGCAGTATCGATCTCGCACAGGAAATCCTGATCACCAACATGTCTTTGGAAACACAACTTGGGCTGGCCACACCGTGGTTGCTTGCAACAAGCCCATGTGCAAAGACCAAGACCGACATCAGGCAAAAGCCCCTGGTTAGAGTGACTGTGTATGGGTTTTCCCTGCTCCAGTCCGCCGTCCAAACCAAGACTGGCAGTAGTTGGATTAAGGCAAGATCAGGGGGTGCTCGTGCGCCTCCCGGCATGGTATGCGAAAAACATGTTGGTGCATGACAGGAGTCGACCAGCAACAGCAGCAGCAGCACAGTGCCGCCCATTGTCAGCTTCGGCCTTGATATGAGCTCTGACTGATCTCGATACTTCTCGGCGGAAACTCGTACATTGCTAAATTGCTCCCGGTGTCACTGGATAGCAAGGCAAGGTGGATCTATGCAGTCCATGGCAAGAGCGGACCAGATTGCAGTGCGCTACCCAAGAAATCGTGGATCCCAGGCAGGCTGGCCTGCTCTCTTTGAAGCAGAGGAAATCCTCGTTCTCTTGACCTTCTACAGATCCTGACACTTGCTGCATTTGCATCTTTTTGGAGAGCTTGTCGAGCTGTCTCGGATCTACAAAACTCGGTGCCGGTAACTGCCCGATTCCGGAATGTGTGCATTGCCTAAGGCCCCTACATTAAAGTGGGGTCCTGCGAGGCTGGAGCTGGAGAGGCTCCGCAGCACGCTGGTGACCCCCGATTCTGCCTCGTAGGCAAGCTGAGAGGGCTGCAGCATCTAGAATGCCATGGAAGTGAGCCCTGAAATCCCCATGGTATGCCCGACCGTGCCTGCAACATTTTCAGTTCGAAAGCTACATGCGTGCGGCCTTTGATTTGGCAAACGACTCCCGGAGCGTCAGCCTCACTCAGGGAAGTTGCGCAGCGATGGACCGGCAAAGACGAGGCTTGGGCGACGAGAGGGTGCGGGCTTGGGACTGTTGCCATGTACTGTAACACTTGGCATCAACGGAAACACGTGGGGGCATTGATTGCTCGAGACTCACGTGAGAGCGCTATTCTCTGAATCTCTGAGACACCGGCAGCCCGAAGAAGAGAAGGCCCAACCCAAGCACCTGACACGCGAGAACGAAAGCAAACTTTGCAAAGCTGTTGTGGTCGTTTATCTAGGCTTTGTCGCTAGGCTGGGCTCGCGGTGACCGGTGCTGCTCGAAATTCCGACCGATAGCCATAATCATCCACCGCGCTAAAGCTTCGGCTCCGTCGACTGTGTTCAGCCGTCTCTCTCGCACCATTTGAGCACTTTTGTACGCAATGTGCATGTTGGATACCTGTGTAGGTGGATTATTCTCGAATCAAGCAAAGATCCGGGCGAGCTTCTTCCCTTCACGTTTAAGATGTACCGTAGCACCGCTTCCCGGCCCCCATATACACGCCACGAAAGCCTGAAAGCTCCGAAGGCCTGTGGAAGCAGGTGCAAAGCCCGAAGCTGGTGAGCGAGGCCCAGAAAAAAGACCTGGGCGACCGGACAGCAGAAGCTCCAGGATCCCTCGAAGAGATGGAGAAGCTTTAGAGAGGGTTGGGCTTGTTTGGGCTTGTTTCGTAAGGTTTTGATGCGGCTTTAGCTGGAATGATAGAGCAAGGGACATCGCACGTACCAGTCCTGAGCAAACTTTTGATGTACAGTGACAGAAACGCTTCGGTCCGTTCCATGACCGTCACGAACGCTTGGCTGTATGTTCTGCCGGCACGAGCCATCCCGCATTTGGCCCTTATTTCGTGCTTAAAGTCCAAGGAGAAATTAAGAGGGCTTTTCCAACCCACTGTTGACACCCATAACAAGTTTGGAGCCCATGCAGTTACAGGTGCGGTGCAGGGTAGTTGTTTGTAGACTACCCTGACGAGGTTCCATAATGTAGTGTTTCAGCCCCTGCAATTTTGAGGTGCAGTAGGGTCTAATTGGCGGTTCAGCGCGTTTCGGAGGAGTTTCGAGTACTCGGGAGCTAGCGATCTCTCCACGAGCTACTTGTACCTTTCGTTTGATTTGCATGAAGGAAACACAAATGCCCGGGCCAACTCAGATCATAACCGGTTGAAGCAAGAGCGACTTAAGTCTCAGTGGCAGAAGTTATGCTAGAATCTTGCCAGGGCATTTCACGATGGATCGCTGGACTTGAATCTTGGGTCGTGAGTTTGGAGATGTACACCAAACAAACGATGATCTGGGCCTCAAAACAACTGCTTGGTGAAAGTGGTTGCTCTCCTTCCGCGGCGAATTCAACAGCAACCACGGTAAACGCCAAATTGGGCAAGGACGGCCGGTTAAGCTCGTGCGACTTACTCTCTCTCTTTTGCTCTCGCGGGTTACAGATTGAATGACATCACAAAAGCACCTGCGATGAAAAGAGTATGTAGAAGATTCTGGAACTTGGTGTCGAAACCCAAGGCGTTTAGTTTGACTGAATGGCACTCCGTGCATGCCAACTGCAACGGATCAAGGTGGCGCCCAAGGCACCGCTTCGAAGATGATCTGACAATTCACAACGCAGTCCTTCGTTGGAAATGGAAGACATCAGAATTGCACTTCGGCTCTGCATGACTCTAAAGCACAAGGCATTTCTTCATTTGTGCAACATCTTGGCCGACTGAAACCTTTTGACTGCTCTTGCACTTGTCATGCCAAAACGTGCATGGCAAAAAGAGTCCAAGTCCAAGTCTCCAGCACCTTCGCCACCAGGGCATCTGACAGAGATAGGGCGGTGATGACAGCACGGAAGACGAACACGTTTTCCTTGGCTTGCGGAGCGGTTATCGCGACTGGAACAAGCAGAAGGCTTCAAGTCCCCAATGATGGCTACCACAGGTTGGCAGGCAATGGTTTGGCATTGATCAGAGCACACCAGGTGTGCAAACCCAGTATCGAGCATGAAGAAAAACTCGAAGAAGTAGCCTGCGATCCACTCCTCGCCATGGCCCTGCGATTGCCACTGATGTTTGATCAACCAGGCGGATGTTTTCAAACGAGGACGGGGTGCTGATTCTGATAACATGGCTGAGCACCCAGTCCTTCGGCAAAGCACTTAAGGAATATCATATCGCCCGACGATCTAAACGGTACGAACTAATCACGATGCTCTACTGAGCAACGCGAGCAATCATCACGAACTTCGTGGCCACATTGACTTGCTAAGCACATTTACGGCTTGCCTTAAGGCACAGATTCATACTTCGAGAACGACTTGATCCCAAAGAACTGAAACCCCAAACCCTGAACCCTAAACCCTAAACCCTAATATGTCGGACGTGACAGGGCACAAAACTACTCTGCGTGTCCTTCACCTCCCGCGTCCAAGCCCAACAAAGCAAGTGCAACACTCGTGCTAACTACCAAAGTGCTCAAGGTAATATATATATATATATATATATATATATAGGGGCCATAATAGTTAGAACAAGGCTTTGGGCCAAGTATACTCTAATTACTCAGGAACCTCCAAAATAGTTTCGGTAAGTCGGCCGCTATAGTATGCTGAACTGCACCCCAAGTGCCTTGCCAAAGCGCAGCGAGATCGCGAGGGCCAGCGCGCCCCCCAGCCCCAGCCAGATCAACAAGGACACCCCGTGCGAGGCCATCCTGAGTTATGCTGGCAATGACTAGCAAACATCAAGGTGATCCTAAGTTGGCAGTGTTCGATGCGGATGTAGGTGCAACAGCTGATGTGTGGATGTGTGGAAGACGATGGTGGTGATAAAGTTCACAGCTATCGCTGCTACCGATCTGGTCGAGTGGTGTCAGCAAAGAAAGCTGGAAGGCTTCGGGAGAACTGCGATTGGTCTGCTTAGATAACGTCGGTGCAAGAACTGATGACCCAAGCATAGTTTGCCACAAGTTTTGTGAAGACCTCCACAGCTCTCTTTGCAACGGCTTTTCGAGCCTGGAACCTGTTATTTCTTCAAGCACTTCTATATAATGCACTGGCCTAGTGTGCAGCTTGAGAAAGTCGTGGCCTTCGGGCTTCTGGTCCTCTTATTCCGAAGACTTCCGGCCAAGATGCTGCTTCTCCCCCGCGACCTGGGAAGACACTTTTCAGTCCATCGTGATGACTGCAGATGTGTGTGTGTGTGCGAACATAATGAATAACTATAGTATCTCTTGGAGTTCAATCTTGAACATAGCCGACGAAGAAGCCTGGCTGCAAATCTCACCGCGCTGAAGAAGGCTAAACATGCTCCACTTCTGCAACGAACAACGTCAGGCAATGCATTCTGATGATTTGGGATTTGGAGTAATTAGACATGCGGAGGTCTGTAACCGTGTCGTATGAGCATTCGACACCGAGTTCAGCCTTGCATAAGCGTAGGTCAAGAGCCTCTTCAGTCATATTGTCAGAGTGCAGAGCGCACAGCATAGACATTGATGTTCAACCCTGACTTCCAGCGGAAAATGACGCGCTTGTGCACCAGACCACATCAGCTCAACTACCACCTGTAGAAGATTGCAGCAGGATTTCGGGCCATTTCTTGCCGGGAATGCTACGTCTGCTGGGTTGTTTGGGCACGTACTAGTAACATAAAAGCCCCGCAGATGCTTGTAGAGCCCGGAAATGTTCAAGAAGAGCTCGGACCCAAAAAATCAGCTGTCAACACCTGGACTAGGCCTAGACCGGAAACCGCGTTTCACGACAGCCGACCTGCCAGAGCCAGTAATGGCGAAGGATGTAGGCCAGAATCATAGCCAGGCCAAGTGCCACCCAGTCGAAGAACTGACGGCTTCCGGGGCTTCTCGAATCTGGTTTTTAGCGTTTCGGTACAGTCAGAAACCTCATAGTCATGCTCGCCACGAGTGCTTGTTAATATCCTCACATCCAAGACTCTTCCCACCACATGCCAATCATCTTCTTGCCCCGGGTATCATACATGTTCCTGTGATGAATGCGGGTGACGATGATGGCGATAATGGTGATGATGATGGAGATAGCGGATAGGACGGTGAGGAGGATAGAATGATGAATACGGTGAATTCGGATGAACGGAACGATGATGACGACAACGATGATTATTACGATGGTGATACAGTACAAGCATACTAGTGAAGTGGTGATGATCAGCCTCACCAGCATGATATATCATCATCATGACTCATGACCATCGTCACCATCAACATCATCATACTCTTCTGTCTTCTTGTTATCCTTCTTCATCTTCTTTATCATGACACATTATTCATCCTCTGCTTCGTCATGCTTATCATCATCTTCGTCATCGTCGTCGTCACCGTCACGGCCACGGTCACCGTCATCATCAGCATCATCATCATTATCATTATCACCAGCATCGTTGTCGTTATCCTCTTCGTCTTCATCGTCAACTAAAACACCAACATAGAGCATGGCCAATTTGCTGAATAGAAAGAGGGCAATGTTGACAGTAAAAAACATGGAAACTGAGATATATGAAAACCCAACTGGATGCACGACCCATGTGCCACCACCCCCTCTCGCACTGAAATCCAGCGTCTTTCTTGACAGCAGAAACCACTATTGGTCGTTTGCTCGTTGATGCTGCGTCTCGTTCTGCCGGCGTTGACACGACCTCTGTGTTGGGTATGACTCTATGCTTCCGGGTGTAGCTCACTCTTAATGGTCAACTCCTGTCCATGGCATGGGGGTGCGAGTGCATGACAACAGCAACAACAACAGCAAGCATGGATGAACAATCAAAAACATGATTCGGCATACAAGCGACGACAACAATTGAATCAGCACTTATCGAGATTCTCTTGGCTCATGACAGAGGACAGGGAGGTCTTCCGAACAGACTCTGCAGTTGTTAGCCGCAATCCCAGCTTCAACGGCAGGTTTGTTGAGCCTGTGAAATGCGGAAGAACTGGGTGACGTCTAGCCGAGCAGTCCAGCTGACTGCTTGTTGGTTGGTTTCCTAAGCCATGTGGCCGCCCTGGTCAACTTGACCATCTTGGTTTCTCTCAAGTTCTGCGACGACCCTCATCAACAATGACACCAGAAGCCACGCAGCTCTGCGCCTCTGCGGAGTTCAGGATTTCCTGCATCCTCCATCCCTTTGGCAGTTTCCGGCGTCGTTGCCAGTGAGGGGAGTCCCAGGTGATGCCTGGCCGCTTTTCTCAGAACGACTTACTATAATTATAGTAAAAACGGGCTCCAAAACCATATTTTAATCATTAAGGCTACAACTCTAAAGCCGGGGCTGACGTCCCTGACAAGCCGTCGCTCTTACGAGTAAACATGTTTATCCACTGAACACCGTGTGATCGCGGGATGTCTCAGGTTTGGGCATCGGTTGGCTGGTTGCAACTCCAGATCCAAGCATCTCAGTTGTTCCCGGTTCCAACAAATCCCGGATCCTGCTCTTAAGTTCGCCTTGGTAGGTCGATATGCTGCAGATATCTCGCGCTGTCAGAAACAGACTAGACTTTCAGACAGGTATGTGGGAATCTTGTCCCTGAGCCACCAGGACTTGTTCCATATGGTTTCTAAACCCCAAACCCTGAACCGCGTGCCTGCGTGGAAGATGCCTTTTCCACTAAGCGGTTGTCGAATCAGAGCCTGTCACAGCGTTTCTGCCGTCTTGTAACTCTGGATATTCACATTGACATGAATAAACAAGCACAGTACTGTAGTAGTTAGTGCTAATTACAGCTGAGGTCAAGGCTGAACCAGAATTATTAGCAACGATAGTGACAACAGTAGCGTTGACATGTTCATCAACAGTGAGAACAATGCGTTCGGCAATGTAGCGATGTACCTGTGCTAGTTGCGGTTTACAATCGATTTTCAATATTGCCTGCATCAAGGATCTTCCTTCTTTGTGTACGGATTCTCCAACATTCGCCTAACGCCTAAGACTTCAATATTCAGGGTTTTGCGGTGGTCCAGATGCAGACTATGCAAGCTCCAGCTGAGGCTAGCTGACGCTGCACTTAAAACATGGTGCACATCCACTATACTGGTCTCGACTTACGTCAGCTTGATGTCCAGATTCTGAGAGACCTTTGCCTTTGTACGAATCCACGACATATCTGCAACAGCGCCCACCGCGGAGAGCGTCATCAACATGGAATGAATGCACACCCATAAGATGGGCATCCCGTGCTTCAAGCTTCTACTCTGCGTGTTTTGTATTCTGCAGTCTTTCTTAGGGTACATTTCGGACAGTCGTACTATTGCTGCAGCTTTGCGCCCGAAGTCTCTGCAGGAGATCCTCCTGCTTGCATCCCTTCCCGGCGCTCACTTTGGCCCGACTACTTGCCATACAGCCTCACTTGTTGAAGGATGTTGTGCCTACCTGGCTCGTGCAGGCAAGTAGCTCCGTCCAAGGAGATGAGCGGATGCATCAAATCTCCCGTTCCTGTGTGCAACCCTGGGAGAATCGCGCGGGTGCAGGCACAGGCAGGGATCCCAATCACCTGGAGTCCTCACAGCCTCCTCACGCACTTTCCGAACCATCACCAGAGCCACAGGAGGTGAGCGATTGTCTCGCCAGGGCACCTAGCCCCAAGTCATCATCTCCGTACCTCAACGGGTCGGGCTCTCGGGTGTCAGGGTTTTGAAAGCGTAGGGCAAGACCCGCCGGTGACCCCTAGGGCCGTGACCACCCGGAGACCGCCATTGGGAACCCCCAAATGACTACGAACAAACACCGTAGGGGACCTGCAGGAGATACCACCGAAGCAATTTGTCCTTCCGCTCTCACATCCCGAACTCTGCATGAGGTCGAAAGCCTGGAAAGCTTCCTGATCGAAACCTCACAAGCCAAAAGCCACGAACCCGAATCGTGACCTGCGACACGGAACTCTTAACCTGACATCCACCAGGCTCGTGATGCTTAGACGAATACCAAACCTCAAAGGCTAGACATGATGCGGGACAATAGTCGTAACGGATCATGACAGATAACAAGATTAACAAGTAGCGACGAACACGGACAGATCTCAGAACCCACTGAGAGGTTGCGGAAGGTAGCAATCGTCAGTTGCACTGCATATGCAGAGCACCAGTAGGGTGCCAGGCGAATCCCTACCCGAAGACAACCAAAAGCCTCAGCTCAGCGTGATGGAAGGTCCTAGGACTCCCGGCGCTGGGTCCACGGGAGGAGTGTCCTCCAACCTCCAGGCTCACTTCACAGTGGGAGCTGGCTGACCGGAGGATTCAGGATTCCGGATTTCGGCAATGGTACGGGAGAGCAGGGCAAGGTAGACTTCGCATTCACGAGCTCTGCGCACTCGCATCAACTGCAAGACACGACACTGCCCTTGGCTCGCAGCCGAGCTTAACCTCACAATGCTGAGCCGAGATGCTGCTTGGACTTCGCCTGGCCCTGCCGGTGAGGGTGTATTCAAACCATGTCAGGTTTTCTCACACAAGTTTCTGGCTGCAGGGTAACTTTGCATCCCCAACCACCAAAAAGTCCAGGAACCCGCCTCCACGCCATGCCACCTTGGTCGCACGCTTTAGTACAGCAAAAGGCAGTTGTTCTGTTGAGGCTTCATATGGGAGCCAATCGGGAAAAAAAACCTGTGGTTGCTTGCGCTAGTGGTGGAACTCCTCAAGCGAGCTCGCTCGAAGAATTACGGTTACGCTGTGCTCGGCATCTGTAACAAGGGCCTGCTTTGGAAGTATCAGTAGTCGTCTTGATTGTCAGGGGCGATGGTGGTACTGGTAGTGCTAGCGGCCGGAAGGAGTAGCTGCAGCAGAGTAAGCAGTGCAAAGTAGAGTCGCCTAAGTAGTCGTAGTCGAAGTGGCAGCAGCAGCACTGGCAGTAGCATAAGTAGTAGTAGTAGTAGTAGTAGTAGTAGTAGTAGTAGTAGTAGTAGTAGTAGTAGTAGTAGTAGTAGTAGTAATAGTAGTAGTAGTAGTAGTAGTAGTAGCAGAAGAAGTAGTGGTAGTAGTAGTAGTAGCAGTAGTAGTGGTAGTAGTAGTGGTAGTAGTAGTAGTAATAGTAGTAGTCGTAGTAGTAGTAGTAGTAGTAGTAGCAGTAGCAGTAGCAGTAGCAGTAGCAGTAGCAGTAGCAGTAGCAGTAGTAGTAGTAGTAGTAGTAGTAGTAGTAGTAGTAGTAGTAGTAGTAGTAGTAGTAGTATCTAGTTATTAGTAACTACTGCTACTACCACTCTTTTGATACTCATTACTAAGCTACTGCTACACGCATTGCTTGTATTCTCAAAACTAACCCTGCAACTGTGCCATGGCAGCCTGGACACCAACCCATCTGCAGCAAGACGCTGGTCTCACTCGAGGCGCATTCCTCGCAAACCACTCCGGCACCCGTGCGGTGTTGTACGAGCAAGTGCAATCATGTACTATGTACAGCATGTGCGCACATGGCTCTAGAATCGCGTCATATGCATATCTCTATTCGCAGCTGCTGTGTGTCTCTGGAAGCATTTTTGTGGGAATCATCCTAATGTCCATCCATTCATCCATCCCTCCATCCATCCTTTCATCTGTCAGTCCATACATCCACCTCCGTGCAACCATGCCCGCGGGTACATGGATTACATACGGACAAACAGAAAGCTGCACATCTGCATGCATAGTGTCTTGCCACTACAGCCTCTACATGATGTCGCATACATCTATTTGGTGGCTATTCTCGGTGCAGGCATCGTTTCTGGGTGACCCAAGCTGCTAAAATACTCAAGCTCAGAGCTTGGTTGCGAGAGCCCAGGCCTCGTAGTCTGCGGATCACAGGCGGGCTTGGCGATGCTTCAGAAAATCTCTCGAAGTGCACAGGTGTCCTTTACTTCTGCCTCCTGAAATTCTAAGAGAGTGAAAGGGTATGAGGTCCGAGAAACTTTGCATCCCTGAACTTCAAACGACACGTTGCCTCTGCAATGCCCGTGGGGAAAAGCCTGGGCTGATCCACGACTGCACTGCGTCATGGTTGAGCGCAGAATTGTCACAGCAATCACTGGGCAGCATCGGCTGCCGGGCGACTGCAGCAGCAGCGCGGCCGATATAAACTTCGTCATCGTTCGATCCTGGGCTGTTGTGTTCATCAGGCTGACACTGCTGGCAGTTCATGCGTGTTTTGCGGATCTCTGCCAAGCATGGAATTTCAGTCACCAGTTTGTATGGCTTGATTTCGATACTTGTGTCAGGCACTGCATGGCAGCCGTGCTCCAGCATTCGAAGCAGGGACATCAGGCGAATCGCTGCTGAGCCACACGGATATGTCAGTCCACCAGCATCAACATGGGGCGGATCCGATATGAAAGCACCTGAGGAGCAGAGTTCCAGGCAACTCGGCTCTTTCGGGCGAAAACCCTCTGGCACATGGACTAGCAACATCGAGTGGGCGTAACTTCTTTCGTCGTCCCCACCAACACCAGTACCACTGCTGCTATCACATTCACGTACGGTTGACATCAACTGCTGCGCCATCGGCGTGGTCCTGGTCGGGTGCAAGACTGCTAATTCTGCTACAATTCAATGATTATGTCCTCAGAGCAACGTCGTTGTCTCCCATTCACTTGTTAACACGACGAAAGCTGCGCATGTTCACCTGACTATTCCGCAAGTCGGAGTGCAGCAACAGCCACAAACAAAATCCCAACGGCTCAGAGCCGTACCGACGGCAGTGCTTCGGTAGTATCTTTCCGCGTGCTTGGTGACTGAAGGTTCGAGCCAAGACGTGCCGCAAAAGCAAACACTGTGCAGCCATTTAACACAGAGGAACTCCGCCAAGTTGGAACTTCATGTTCCACCTTCTCTTAAAGTAAAGCGCCGCAGCCGACGGCTTTGTTTACTGTTGTTTTTCGTATTAGTAGTATGATTATTGTTAATAGTGTGTTATGCTTTCTGTCTGTTCTGTTTGTTTTCTATTGTAATTACGTTGTGTTGCTTAAGTGGTTTCTCTTCCATTGTCATAACTACTTAGAGGATCCTGGGACTTAGTATGTAGGTTATAATTGGGGGTTATAAGTCCCCTAAGTGGGGTTATCCCAAATATAACCTACCTATAATCTTGCTTACTAAGTCCCATGAGCCTTCAAGTACTGTTACTTTTCATTCTTGGACTATAATATCCTCTTAAGCCCAATAGGAGCAAATATAAAATGTCCCAAAGCCGTACCTAGACTGTTACTTTTTCTTTTTGTCCTTCCTTAGCCGGCTTCATTCTCGAAGAGGCCTCGGATTTCTGGGCCCTCTCGAGCCCGTTCTCCTCCGCTCACGCGGAGCGCTCCTCCGGCGCGGCCAGCGCTCCTCAAAAGCGGCGTGAGACGGTTGGCATTTTAGGGTTCAGGACTTCAGGGAGCTCCGAACATGCAGCATGGGCGTCGTATGCCTGCAGTGCAGAAGGCAGATTTCAGGCAAGGCTTCTTGCAAGGCATTCAGTATCAGATTCGTAGGCATCTCCCAACACCAGATGCCAAACCCTGTGCTCATCGGTCCTCTTCGGGTGGCCGGGCGGACTCTGGATACTCTGACGCTGGCAGGCCTCTTTCCAGCAAGAGGAAACCGCATGCGTGCATCCTTACTAAATCCACTTCTTGCAACTATTACTTCTGCCTGATGCTGCTGATACTACGACTTCTTCTTCTTCTGCTACTACTACTACTGCTGCTACTACTACTGCTACTACCACCACTACTGCGGCAGCCGCTGCTCCTACTACTACTGCGACGACGACGACTACTACTACTACTCCTGCTACTACTGCTACTGCTACTACTACTACTACTACTACTACTACTACTACTACTACTTCGGCAGCCGCTGCTCCTACTACTACAACTGCTACTACTACTGCTACTGGCATTGTATGGTGCCCTCCTTGCGATCGTTCAGAATTTTGGTGCAGTGCATCTGGTCATTACAGAGCCGCTCTGAGTCAAACAGACTCGGGTTGGTGGCACTGCACTGACGATGTACAAGCGGCTGCAACCACACAGGCCTATGACTTGGAGCACAGCAGTTGCATCTTGATATACTCAGAGTTCGACACCGTCGTGCAGTTTATAGGCAGTCACTCCACCATGAGTGAGTGCCAATACTGCGGCAGCACATCGCTGCTCCGACATGCCGGCAATGTGATGGAGCGACCGCTGCCTGTGTGATGATGATGATGATGAGGAAGATGATGATGATGATCACGGCAGCAACGACAACTACAACAACTACAACTACAACAACTACTAGTACAAGTACAAGTACAAGTACAAGTACAAGTACAAGTACAAGTACAAGTACAAGTACAAGTACAAGTACAAGTACAAGTACAAGCACAAGTACAAGTACAAGTACTAGTACTAGTACTGGTACTAGTACTAGTACTAGTACTAGTACTAGTACTAGTACTAGTACTAGTACTAGTACTAGTACTAGTACTAGTACTAGTACTAGTACTAGTAACTACTACTACTACTACTACTACTACTACTACTACTACTACTACTACTACTACTACTACTACTACTACTACTACTACTACTACTACTACTACTACTACTACTACTACTACTACTACTACTACTACTACTACTACTACTACTACTACTACTACTACTACTACTACTACTACTACTACTACTACTACTACTACTACTACTACTACTACTACTACTACTACTACTACTCCTACTCCTACTCCTACTCCTACTCCTACTCCTACTCCTACTACTGCTCCTGCTCCTGCTCCTGCTCCTGCTCCTGCTCCTGCTCCTGCTCCTGCTACTGCTACTGCTACTGCTACTGCTACTGCTGCTGCTTCTGCTACGAGGACGACTACTAGTACTGGTCCCACTGCTTACTCTGATGCATTACGCATGCTGTGATAGATGCGGTTAGTAAACTCATCATCAATATGAGGAAATCTTTAAGTCGCCGCTTTCAGGCATCCATGCGAGGAGTCCCTGCCTGCTAGTTCGCAGGCCCAGACCTCGTGGGGCAAAGGCAGATCGCGCTCAACATACTAGTGATGCCAGTGCTGAGGTGTATCATCAAAACTTCATGTCGTTAATTTTTGGTGGATACCAGGCTCCCCAACAGGGCCTCAGAAACAAGGCCACCCATCTGCTGCTATAAGCTATAATAAAGCAAGGCTACTCGATTGTTGCATAGCTTGGCCTCTTCATCCGTGGTGGCCGCTTCCAGTTTGCCAACCTGCCGTGGCGGTGTGCGGATGGTTGCATCGGTACCCGATGCGGCAACATAAACCCCTCGAATACTGTTCAGTACAGTTTTGAGCAGCTGGCAACTGGCGAACGCCGCTGCTCGCGTGCGAGTTTCGTTGCCGGCAATTGACAGGTCGTGATGCAAGTGGGGACAGTGATGTTTGTTTATTCAGTATCATTTTGGGCTTGAAAGCAGCTGCCGGTCGGCAAGCTGGCAGGGAGCGTAATCGAGCGGTCTCGTTCTGTCCGCGGTTTTCTCTTGCAGACCTCGACTGGAGGATGAGAATTGGAACTGCTGCAGTCTGCAGCTATCGCGTGCCAACCCGAACATCGGCCATGGCCAAGTCCACGTTGCCTCCGGCAAGGGTTTGCATGCTGCCTTGACCTACCTTGGCGCGGCAGGCACGGCAGCGTTTGCGCGTCGACACTAGCAGCCAAGGCAGTGGTCACGATGGCACAGACTTATAGACCAAAACTCTCTGCGCGATTGATGTGAGTGCATCCGCTGGCCAGTGCCGGCCTTTCGTGTGCCTGCGTCTTCGGTATGGGAATGATGAAATGAAACCATGTCTCCACACGAGTGGCCGTCTGATGCATATCAAAGTCGGATGGAGGAGGAAAGGAATCGCAACGGCACAAAAGGATAGGGGGCCACTGAGCAACCATGCAGCTAAGCAAACAAACCCACACCGCGAAGACATGACAGCTTCCAAGATCTGCGACACTCGGACGGCATCGTCTGAGAAACTGGGCCTCAAGATCACCAAGAGATAGGCCGCCAACCTGCAGTGGTTCTTGCGAAAAGCGTGTGCTCTCTGGCGACTACATTCTGAAATCTACATGGGCTATGAGCTTCAGGCACAAGCTGCACTCACCTGCAAACGATCCAAGACCGACTGAGCAAGGCATCGCCAAGATGTGCGCCTGCGTCCGCCTCTGGGCTACCTTGGAAACGGGGGATCCTGTTTGCTTACTCGGCATCGGAGAAGACTGCATCACTGAGAGTAAAAGTAAGAATCTCGCGACTTTGTAGCCACATCTTTCCACCATGGCTGGCACTTGCGCCCTGGCACACGTATCCGAGCAAGCATCATGAGCCACGACACACCTGCTGAAACACAGCACCACTTTCTTCTGGATCTTTTTCACATTGGACACAAAAGTTATTGGTTCCATCTGTTGCACGCAGAAGATACTTTATCGCCGTTCTTACTTTGGCTGTCCCGGGGCAGGCGGCAACGGCCGCAATACAGAAGGGAAGAGTTGGCATTCTTCTGACCGCTGCAGTAAGCACACCAACCACGGGCAAGAACAGTGAGGTTGTGCCATCAACTGCTGTCGTGGCAACCAGGACAGCACAGAGAGGACAATAAGCGGCAACATAACTGCAGCAACATCGAGAAGAAGCAAAGAGATACAGCCTCCCAAAACAGGTCCGCGCCTGCCATCCCTGGCGAGAATTGTGACCCGCGACCTCAGCGGCATGCTTCAACAACTTTGACCTCGCGATTCCAAATCTACAACAGGCTTATGACTGAGTAAGGAATGCCCACATATCTAATAGCATATAAACTAAAGCATTGCCACAAGCAGAATTTGGCGCAAGACATCTGAAGGTCTGACCGTGGCTCTTGCAGGGACGAGTCCGGCAGAAGGGCGGCCTGGAGAGCAGAAGTCTACACGTTTAGCTGCGTGAACCATGCTTATCAAAAACAATAAATGTAAGTGTCGTTGTTGTTGTGGCTCTCTGCATTTTCTGTATACTGTGTTCTGGTCATTCTGGATTCCAGCACTTGTATGATGTGCAAAGATCTATACGCAAAATTTCAAAGCAGGGAGGCAACGAGCGCCGTGTCGCGAAGCCTCCAAGACACTGGCGGTGTACGTCCTGGCAACATCCCGAGTCTCATGTGGTGTAGGGTTCAGCGTTTAGGGTTGTAGCTAGGGTATGTGACTCGGACAAGAACCTGAGCAAAGAGTACTGCGACAGCAACAATACTCTTGCGCTCTCGTTCTGATTGTACGACCAGTATTTTGGGTGTCATAAGGGAATATGTTACAATTATTCGCAGAATTCTATTCTGAGCCCTACGTTACCACAACTGCTCAGTTGAAGCAACCACTGGCAAGCATACAACAGCGCCCGAGAGAGCGCCCTTGCACCGATCAACATCGATAATACAAAGGCCTGCACTATTATCATCTAAAGGTACGACAAAGAGACATTATTTCTACTGGGGATCAGGGCCCGCACAATAACCTATGACGGTGGGTGCGGCAGGGTAGACCGTGGGACCACAGGGCATCCACTCTCCGATTGTGCGACGCTGGGCTGCAAGTTAGCTAGCTGGCCACCTGCCGTGTAATCTATGCGAAGCCAGCAGCTAAAGGGTTCACCGTTGATCCCAAGTAGGCCTCTGGAAGCCCGTCACTCCCAGGTTCACGCCAGTCTGCAATGCCTGCGAGGCACGAACACAAGGTTGCCACGATTAAGGGTTGACAGGTTTTTTGTTTGAGTTTACAGGGTTTGGGGTTTGGGCTTATGAAGATTTCACGACGAAAGATATTAGATGAGATGATGATGCGAGACTACGGAGCACATCACATAACATCGCATAATCATAATGCACCGGAAGTAATCTACGCCTTTCACGAAATCACCTGTGGTATAAAGACATGTGATGTAGTCACCTATACCGACAAAGATTTCACTCTCACATCCCCATGGCCGAGCCGAGTTATTGGCTTCTGATGCTCCCTGACGGGCCTTTTCCTGCGGCGAGTTCGCTTGAGGATCGGATCAGAGAGCAATGCCGAAGGGTTGAACAGTTGAACGAGAAAAGATCTTGATTGTTGTGAGCATCGCTGAATTACGCTGTGCACGACGGCAGCATCCGGCCACAGTACAGTCCCACGCAAATCTGGCATCAAGACAACGCTTCCACACCGAGAGCCGTGAAGATAAACTTTAAGACTAAGGTGCTTGGGAAAGAAGTCAATGAGATCAGCATCATGCAGCCCTTGTTTCTCAAAATTCGAGAGCCCTGGACCCTCGGATGTCAAAACCACCAGGCCAAAGGAACAACTCCCAAAATCTGCAAGTCCACATCTAAGCCACTTCGGAGACCTACACATCCCCCAGCCCTAAACCCTAAGCCCACCTCATCGAGATACTCTGCTCTAACTGCTCCGCAGACTTCCAGCTCCAAGATGTTTGCCACACCTGGGCAAGCTCTGGGGCTTAGGGTCTGAGGATTTAAGCTTCTGTGGTTTTAAGATAGGGGCCTTCCTAATTAGAACAGGGTTTTGGGCCTATTATATTGTACTTATAATAAGGATCTCCCAAAACAGTATGGGCAATTATTATGATGGCCCCTATATTGGGGTGTTTCTGGGTTGCGGACTGGCCTGAAAGCTAAAGTCAAGAACCGAGGCTCGCGCCCCGGCGAGGATCTTGGAGCTGTCGGGTCAATCGCCCACTGAGCAGGACTCTGTGGTTTAAAGTGGGGAGTGGGTTCCTGTAAGGATTATATACTATAAAAATTTCTTAAAAGGGTTCTATAAGGGATCTATAACAGGGTTCTTAGTAGGGAGTGGGGGAATGGGCTATGGAGACTATTCTTGGCATTTCTTGGGGATTACATAGGGACTACTTTAGGGATCCATTCCCCCATTCCCTGCTGAGCACCAGGGAGAAAAGGCTGTGCAGTTTGAGGAGATGGCTTTGGGCTCTGCCGTGCGAGCTGCTTTGGTACGGAGGTTGTCCTAAATAGATGATGCAGCAATAACCTAGTATGGGACCCCGAAACCTGCTATCCTCTTTCTCAACTATGAGTCGACTCTGCTGCAGCTGAGCCGAGCGCGGCATTCAAGCCGCATGATGAAAGGTCAAGAGGAGCACCGTTGAGGCGTTGATTGTTGCGAGGTTGCGGCTTGAAGTGTAGGCTTTGACTTCAGGCATGTTAAAGGATCCCATCACCGGCCGGGGTTGAATCTTTGGCATCTCGAAACACGGGTCTATGCAGCTTGGCTGATTTGTCCCAGAACTGCCCTGCACAATCCCCACCTTCGGCTCCAAAGGAAGAGCCCGCTTGCACCGGTGGCAAGGCCACCTACCGGGTGATAGAGGTCGAGCTCGAACCTCAGCCACCAGGTAGGCATCTGTGGCACAGGACGGACGGGGGAACATGTAGGTTTCATCATGTTGGGTTCCAGAATACTGCTGTTTTGGCTCCTGCATGGTGAGCTGTTCCACTCAATGTTGTTACAGGCGAGGAGGACATTTTGCATGCAGTCTTTTAGTAAGATTTCTGAACCACGAAACCCTTTGAGCCGAAAGTCACAAGTCTGTCGTCGTACGCAAGTCATCCGATATCTCAGGCACAAAATGGGCTGCACTCGCTCCGGCAATCTTACTAGTAATACTTAACATGCAGCAAAGGCTCAGCTATTTGCGGCATTGAGCCCGGAAGCGGGAAACGATGGATACCAGCCCGACAAGTTCCGGTATTGTTGCTTCGTGAGCTTGGCTGTCTGCCATCAAGACTCTCGATACACAGTCGGTGACTATGGCCGCATGATAGTTTGCCAGTGTATACCGCAGGTAGACACGCATCCACTACTAATTAAACAAAATCTGAGTTGTCCAGCTCGTCCCCGGCGAATGAGACGACTGATCGCAGATCCTGGCGCCACAGTATTCGCAGATCGGCGAGTAACCCGACACTTCGCTTTTTACGCATCGTCCGTCATGGTATACAGAGCAGGAGCAGAAGGCAGCAGAAGTCGTATTCGTCGTACCAGAACAAGGCACCTAAACGCAAACGATAAGGGTGGGATATCCCATAACGCTTTAACTTTCTTCAAGTAAGCCAATCAAATACAGATGTCCCATCCAGACCCTAAGCCCTAAACCCGTAAAGCCTAAACCCTGAACCCTAACCCCAAACCCTAAACCCTGAACCCTAAACCCCAAAACCCTAAACCCCAAACCCTGAACCAACCCTGAACCCCAAACCCTAAACTGTTCATGTCTGGTCGCTTTGCGGGTTCCCGACTTTCAACTTCCCGCAAGGACCGCAGGTCTGGTGCAACACAGACTCAGTATCCCTAAACTCTATAGATCTCTAAACCCTAATTAATCTAATTACGTATATCTGCCCTACGCTTTGGCCCTAAACCCGCTTCAATCCCAACAACTCTTGGGTCACTTAAACTTTAAAACCCCCGAAAAAGCAGACTAAAGCACTTTCCACCGGAAGAAAAGCCGTCGCCTCGAGGTCCGTCTTCTTGATGTTCTTCTGCACCCGCATGGACGTGACCATGCCCTTTGGCTTGTGGTACCTGCGAGGCCATGGCTATGATTCCTGTAGGGGCCTCAATAATTAGAGTAGGGTTCCGTTAAAGTGGTCTTTAAGGGCTACTACAAGGGATCTATGAGGGTACTATAACATAGGGGCCTTAGAAAAATTGAATGGGATTTTGGGGTCTACTCTTCTATACTTGTAAGAAGGAGCCCCCCAAAATTGTATATGCCATCATTAGGGCCTCTAGATTACAGGGTTCCAGCTAAACTAGGGACTCTCGTCGCGGAGAAGAGAGTTTGGATTCGCGGGTTTGGGACTTCCGGGCTTAGGAGGGTGACAACCCCGACGTGCGCACTTCACGAGCAGGGGCAACCTGCGCTGAAGCATTCTGGTGCCACTTGCCGAACTTGGTAGCTACTACAGACGATGTGCAAAACCACCACGTCCAGGCCTGTACTCTCTGCGAGCGAGAACAGGTCTTAAGCCGGCACCTCCCTGCGCAGGGCACATGACTTGCAGAGCATGTTCGGTTGTGACCGGTGTTCGCCTGAAATGCATGGGGCCCCGCACTTGTGCCAGGAGTCTGCGTAGCATGTCCCAGAATCGCTGTTTGCGCCTGTGGATTATAGTCAACTGTCGACTTCGCGGTAACGATAACGGTGAAACATGTGAGCTACAGCTAAATGGCACGCGCATCCTACTAGCCGACCATCTGCATGACGACGTCTGCGTCGACGCTGTAGACAGTTGGGACAGTACATGGATCGACCTCGATCTGATGATACTGTGAATCTGACTTTGGCGAGAATGGGCTCCTTCTGAAAGGTTCCCACAGACATACATCCACCGATATGGACGTCAGAAGATCCATGTCACCATCCCAGGGAGCAAATGTCGCTTAAACAATTCCGTAGCTCATGTACAAAACGCTTAAAAGCTTCGGGGGCAAAGCGCCAGCGATGAAGTGGAAGATCGTTGGCTGACTCTCTCACCCGTTCAGCGATTTGATTGATTTGACTTGCCCTTCGCCTGCGAGACGGCTGGTGCGGGAATTCTGAACCCCAAGCGTGGGGACTCCGCTGGTGCGGGAATTCTGAACCCCAAGTGTGGGGACTCTGCTGTTGCGGGGATTCTGAACCCCAAGTGTGGGGACTCCGCTGTTTCGAGAATTCTGAACCCCAAGTGTGGGGACTCTGCTGTTGCGTGAATTCTGAACCCCAAGTGTGGGGACTCCGCTGTTTCGAGAATTCTGAACCCCAAGTGTGGGGACTCTGCTGTTGCGGGAATTCTGAACCTCAAGTGTGGGGACTCCGCTGGTGCGGGAATTCTGAACCCCAAGTGTGGGGATACTGCATCTACAGTCATGTCCAAGAAACGGAAAAGCCTTCTACACAGTCTGACTTCGACCCTTGTCACTATCGTTGAAGCATGTGTGTCTCACGTCGCGCGCTGCAAACCCCTCGCCGGTAAATCCAGCAAAGAACTGTCGTTGCACTGGGCATGGCAGTCGTCCGATGAGAACCAAGGCATGTAGCAGTGATGTCATCAACTCGTGTCGAACACACTCTTGCCATCTCTGGGTCATCTCTTTGCCTTGCCCTTGGGCTTGTTCCGGGTTCGTCGGCTGGGTTCTTCCACCTCAGCTCGGAATCGTTGGGGCGGAGGGTGAAGGACACATCGCTACAAAGCTTTGGATTTGCGATTCTGTAGGCACAGTCCCGCCTCCAACTCAGGGTCATCCATGGATAGCACCGGATTCCCGTCCTCCTTCACTTCCTCACAGGCAACAGCGGAACTCGAATGAAAAGTACATGTTCAAGCACTGATGTGCCACACCCCCCAATTTCGCTGCGATATGAACTGACGGAACCTACACAAATCCTATACTATGCACCTGTATGTATGGATGTATATAAGTATGTACTTTGCGTAAGATAGGCACTCAGAGCATGACACCTGCATGTTCCCGGACCCACCGCTGAACCAAGACAGAGCATCACATCACAAAGATCGTGTTTAATTGCAGGAAGCTCAGAAGCTATAGCTCACAGTTGTTCTGCTGCCTTTGGTTGCAAAGGTTGGACATTCCCTCACGGGTTTCTTTAAGTTGCAACAACTTCGTGAAGCAACGACCTGCCTGGACCCTTGCTAGCCCCCTCCCAACTGACGCGTAGAGCCCACGGATTCTAGACAGACGGCTGCCTCCACTCGCATGCCCTGCACGCTGTCGCCCCTTCGGAACTCGCCCTTCAGCTCGGCTGGAACCTCGAAAGTTGGCGGCTCCGTGACGGAGCAAAAGAAGGGGTCTGCAAGGGAGTTGTGTAGGGCGAGCTATGACCATCCCTATGCCGAAACCTTCCGTATGTCGGTGGATGTGAAGCAAAACCACGTCATGGGCCTTGCTAGTTCTGGAAACCCAACCCACATCACTGAAGCTGAGCAGTGCTTCGCCCCACCACAACCCGACGCCGCAATTCGACGATCAGGCCCCTAGTGCCTAAGGCGATGACATGCCTGCTGTGAATATTTGGATAAGACTCGCGCATGGACTTACACTGGTCATGGCGAAGGCTTACAAGAAACCACGTATAGTACGCATGCTTCTTGAACAATTCAAGAAGGAATTTAAAGCTACAGATTCAAGCATATTACGACCTACAAAGTCCGTGGGTACATCCTCCCGGAGCCTCGAGGAGGCCCTTCTTGCCGCCACCAATGTTTACCTGAGAGGCGTAATGAATCTCGGCATATAGAGATAAGATTTCGGATTTTCCGCTCTGTGAGTTTCGTTGGTTGATGATGTTGCTTCCTGCAAGTCCCGTATTATCGGAGCAGCATCCAACTGTCGAGCTTGGTTTGGCGCCTGGAACTTTCGCGGTGTAGGGTGCGGGAATCAGGCTTTAGATGCGCGTCCTTGTAGCTGTTTAGTGTGGATGTTATGTCTGTGTGGCCTATATGCTGAGGGACTGAGGGAAAAGGTAGCTTGGGCCTGTGTGCGGTTCTGCACGCGAGCGAGCATGCTCCTGCCTCCTGAGATGGCTGTGTTACTAGATAGTCACGTTCGTTCGTTGACCACGACCTTGGCCCCTAACACAACGATCCGCCCCGGGCGGCAGGGGAGCTTTGCAAGTCGCGTGCAGGGGAAAGCATACAAGGAAACTGAAGGTGCAGCGGTAACCGCATGTCCGCGTTTGAGTGTGATGCAAAGAACTACCTCGGCAAGATTTAAAGCCTGCAGGTTGCATACAGCCATCGGCCCAAAGAAACGCTCCAAGCCTCAGAACCGAAAACCTAGTTATAAAGATCAAACCTACTTCCTCCTAGCTCTGAGATGCCCCAAGACTCGACGGGCCCAGACCAACATCAATAGCAACTCCAAACCGGAAACTCCAGAAAGCCCAAAGCCCCTAGAACTCTGGCCGCAAAGCCCTAAAGCCCCACGTCCCTAAAGTATCCTTACAACCTACACCCACACAATGCCCTAAAGCCCCATTTTCTCACCTTTGGTTAGTAGGGAATGGAAGAATGGTAGTAGTAGTAGTAGTAGTAGTAGTAGTAGTAGTAGTAGTAGTAGTAGTAGTAGTAGTAGTAGTAGTTATAACTGTGCCCCATTCCTCCATTCCGTACTCGCCAAAGGTAAGTACTAAGCGCAGCAGAAGGAGCCCAAACGCCCTTGCTGTTGATCGTGGTGACGACCCCGTCCACCAGGTCACCGGGCTCAAGCTGCATCTCCTCTCATTCAGGGGATTAGGGTTTAGGGTAGGGATGGGAAGGGATCAGGGGATTAGGGCTTTAGGGCCAATTCTGTGAAGGGTCTATCCAATGAATCCAATGGTCTGGGATGGGACATTTTTGTGTCTAGGATTTGTTAAAGTCTGCAAATGTTCCCGTTTCCGCAGCGCGTAATGGGTATCTCGTGTTGTATAGGGGGTCTACCGGGCTTCACGAGCTATTGCTGCTTCAGGGTCTGGCATGTTTACTCTTCGAGGGATGGCTACACATGACCAAACAATTATGCAACATACGTTTACGGATGGCGGCACTAGCTTCGGGGGACATTTTACGCAACAAGGAGAAACACGTATATCTTTAGCAAAGCAAGTGCATACTGCAGCTACAGGCAAAACCACCCACACACGAAAACATGCGTGCAATATTATACCCAGGATCTCTAGTTATAGTGTAAGACTGTAAGAAATCAACAGCTTACCGTGTATTCGCGTAGTACCAGTATGCTGTAATAATCTAATATAGCAGGCAGTGCCTTTGAATCTCACGCGCCATGCCGGTCGGAATGCGCCTCTGGCTCCTCTTCCTTCTCTTCTTTCGGCTCAGGCTCAGCCACTTCTTCCTGTGGTGTTCGAACATGTCCTTCTGACAACCCTAAACCCTAAGCTCTACACCCTAAAACTTCTCATACAGAAACAGAGAGCGGAATGAACCCGACATACGACATGACGCTTGCTCTGACGCCTCCGACGTTACATTCAGGAGGAGTGCACCCAATCTCCGGTTTATATATTAATTATGTGCCAATCCGCGACGCCATCGTGAATCGTGGACACCACATTTATCCAGGCTGCAACTTTGGGTTGCGACTTCGCCTTGGGTACCCTGACAGGCGGCCCGGGCGGCTCCTGCCATGCAAACAGGAGCCGGCAGCGACACCCAACTTACATGGAGGTGGGATGCAGGAAATCGATGAGTATGAACCCAGGACCTACTGCGCTGCTCCCCCGGGGTTCACTAGGTGAGGATGTCAACGCACTTGTTCATGGCAGTATTGATACTCCAATACAGTATAAGAGGGTCAGCAGCACCTGCGGTGTCGCATATCAGCCACAGCGAAACAGGTTTAATCTCGACAAAGAGGTCCATCATCATAAAAGACTGCGGACGCAAACAGCTATGCTGAACTCGCACCCTCCCTTGAGGTATCATATCATGCGTGGCACACCAGCACAGCGATGTATGCCAGTTATAATGAAGCTGTAAAGAATATTGAATCTTTTCTGAGACTGGTACTCAAATATGAATTGAAAAAAGGAAGCAGAACACGGCATCAAGTCGCATGATGATTCTTTGATGTCAGCAAAAGGCACGGCAACAACACTAATGCAGAAGATCCTGATACAATATATGTATATATATATACACACATACACACATACACATATACATATACATAATACAGCGTGTATGTACATATATATATATATATATATATATGTGTATATATACATATATATATATATATACACATATATATATATATTATATATATATATATATATATGTATATATATATATATATATATGTATATATATTATATTATATTATATTATATTATATTATATTATATTATCTTATATTATATTATATAATTATTATTATTATTATTATTATTTTTATTAATATTAATATTAATATTATTATTATTATTATATATATATATTAGCACATAACCTCTTACATATTCATGTATCAAATTGGCAAATTATACGTATATACACATTGATAAAGAAAGTTATACATATAAATGGAAACACAGAAACAACTGTATGTATGTATGTATATATATATATATATATATATATATATATATATATATACATATATATATATATATATATACATATATATATATACATATATATATATGTATATATATATATATATGTATATATATATATATACATATATGTGTGCACCGAAATTATCACCCTCAACTCTGATCTCGGAGCCCTCATGTGCTGCCGGTCCTTAGCCTTGGGCTTGGGCCTTAGCTGGTGGGAGGTGGGGAATGGATGTTTAGAACTGTGCTGACGCGGTTTGTAAGTACTGCCAAACTGGCGTCTTTTTACGACTTGCTCTGTAGGTTTTAAGTTGTCTTGCGTGAAGCCGCATTAGAAGTTCCGGGACGGAGGTGAAGGGCTGAAGCTCTCGGGATGCCTGAAGCCTGATACAGGGTCTTCCGACTTCGAGTTCGCTATGAGTTACCCGACGCTCAACAGTAGATGTTTTAGGGGGTCTACACTCAGCGACTTCTCACGGATTGTGGTGCTCTGTCCATGACTGCACCAGACCCTTTGATTGAGGAGCATGAACATGTGGGCCAGCTCCATGCAACTTGTCTGCTCTCGAAACTCCTACACAGCCTGGTCTCTTCACTCTGAAAGGGTGCCGTGAATTCCAACAAGTCACTGTGCGACGTGTCTGCTTGCAGTTATCTCCTCAACCCCTTAAACTCCCCCAAACGGGTTACTTAGCCCACCCTAACCCCTAACCTCACCTGTTGGTGAAATCGAAGCTCTTCGTAACTAAGTACGACGGAAGCCCAAAACTCCCAATCCTCGAATTCCTATTCCCGAAGCTCCGGCTTCCTGTAGATTAGGCATAACCTGCTGAGGGATCCTTATGACAACAAGCCTAAACTCCCATAAGAGTGTGCAGCGCGAAGCATATTCACCAAATGTCAAACTTCGGGCTAGAGGAGACGAGTAGCTCCCGATCAGCCTTCTTCGGCTTCGGAGCCTTGCTTGACATTGACACACGTTATGAAAAATATGTAAAAACCACACACGAGCATGGCTGATAACTTCGGCGATGATCATCCGATAAACACGACTATGCATGTACGGTTGAACACATGCGTCCACACAGTCTCACATACGTCTCCATGCAGTATGTTCTGAACATACACAAAGTTGGCGTACGTGTACTCATACGTATCCAGGCATGCCTACGTACATACAGACACACATACCTTGAATACATACAGACATATACCTAGCTAGCTAGTTCATACATGAGCTACGTCGAGGCATGTGCAACCAATATCAACCAATGAACAGTCATCATGGCACGGTTTCCCCCATCAATGCTCGAATGCATTGGGAGTGGTATAAGGGTTTGCCAACGTCTCTGAGTTCATCCGACTGTTTACCTGGGGTTGGTGTAAAGCACTGGCCAGATCTTCGAACTTCTTGGAAATCCCCCAATTCTCCTCTTTGACTACGCTTGCTGTTGGTCTGGATCTCTGACGTGTCAATCTTAGGAGGTCTACTGTGCGACAAAAAACATCTGTCCCATTGATACAGTGCTCCTGTCTCCGGAAGCTCAAGGCCAGAACCAATAACTTCGAAAAAGTATTCAGACTGGACATGTTTCCAACTACATTTGTCTATCAGCATGCAGAAGTGCATCTTGCCTTGGATCTCACCCTGCGTAACACATGCAGACTTTATTTAATATGATAATATTGAATATCTAATAAACATATGTAACATACAAACATAAAACGATAAAACATATTGTAATATTATATATATATATATATAAATATATATTACAATATACTGGAATATATTGTTGTATTACATAATGTATTTTTCAATCAATACAGAAATATGATAATACAATTTCATAGTAGAGTATGATATGACATGATATGATGGTATATTGTAACCGCGCATAATACAGTATAACCCAAGATCATATAATACATTATCACATAATGGAACACTATATTGAATATAATATAACATAAGACTATGCATCTATACCCACATGTATGTAGACTAACACATCGACATCCATATACATGCACACATATACGTGTGTTTCAACCGCCTTCGTCTGCAAGAGGTAGCACCGAGAAAAGTATTCGATGCCAAAAGTCTGTTCTACACGCCACATGTCTCGTTCCAGGCTGGAAAAAGCCCATCAAACCCTGAGGAGCCATAAACCGCGAATGTGGGCACCTTAGCAACCGTAGCAGGCAGAATAGAGTTTGGGGGCATATAAATACCATGTACCTGGAATATTTAGGGACAGTAAGGCGACACTGTTATTTTCATTGTTGATTCGTTGATTGTTCCGAACCCTACATTACCAATCCTCGGCAAAGGAGCATCTGCTTTGGGGTCCTTCGTGTCCCTGTCGGCATCTGCCATCAGCGTTGCCAGGGAGACCATCTCGGGATCCTCGGAGGCTTGATCTAACAGCTCCAGCTCTGGACAACTAAATTGCTTAGACTCTGTTCCGCACTTTTGAACATGGACCCTTGGCGTGGCACCCAAGCAGCAGGAAGATTCTACTGCCACCATTAATGCGATGACTACGACTGCAAGTAACGAACGAATGAAGGAATAAAGGAACGCAGGAAGGAGCGAACGAACAACAACGAACAATTTTTCTAACTAACTTACTCTTTAACTACCTAGCTAGCTAGCTATCTAGCTAGAACCAACTAGCTCACTCACTAACTGAGATAGATAAAGGGGCTATAAGTACTACAGGGAATTGCCATGCTTCGCGGTGTCTAAGGATCACGCCAATGTCGCTCTTCACATTTCGTATTCTCTTGTTCAGCTTTGGCTTTCCAGGTGAGGGTTGTTGAGTTCATGTCTCAGCGCGTCCTTTCAGTGAAGCTAGGCCCGTACAGCGACATGTAGCTGAGGCCAGGTCTGCAATGGCACCTTCGACATCGTCCATGATCAATCGAACTCGTCGCATCTCCAGGTCAACCGTCGCCACGCAAAGGTCGCGCAGAACCTGCAAAGGACCGTGGTGGGTTAGGTTTGTCGCTACCGATTCTGTCTCGAAGAGGCAAGGCACATGGAGTCACCCGAAACAGTGGGCAGGCCTGCCCGCGGATGAGCTGGTTGCCCATGAAGCGCGGAAGCTGGAGTTTTCCGTGGCAGGCTTCACAGCCCACATTGATGAAGATGCCAAACCTTGTCAAGAGGTTTTCGCACACAAACCTACGGAGCACTTGCTGACGCGGATCCACTGCTGAATCCATTCACAATGCAAAGAACTGCAGACCCACTGCGAAAAGCAAAGGCAAGTCTGACCATGCAGCTCAAGGACTGGTTTTTGGTGTCCACTACACCGTTCAAGTAGCTGCCCTCCTGCAGCTCCTGCAGTGCCAGAAACGCTACGAGTATTGCTGTGCCACTGGGGGCATTCTCTGGAGGTTGCAGGCTGCCTGTCATCCTGCATCATGAACAAACCAAGCGAGGCCCAACTAAGCATACTCACGGACTGCGATCCTCCAGCGGAATTCTGCTCGGCTTCAGGGCCTCTTCGACGTCCTGCAGTACGTCAGCGACGAAAACAAGCGTCAAGGTGCAAGGTGTGGTGACTGCTCGTCTTCACACACTCTCGGCAAGAGGCACTTCCCAATCTCGGCGTGGCTTCAAAAGTTGATAAGCTGCTGTTGTGACCGCCAACCCCCGGTCCGCCACTGTTACAGTGGCACGGCGGAGTTCAAGATCCACAGAGACGACCTCCATGGCCTGTCATGGCAGATTTTTGACATCCGATGACCGATTCTGCATGTTGTTGCTGTCTCTATAGCCAGAGCCCGCAGCACATGCGCCAATTGCGGCGGTCCTCCAACACATCGCCACGCCGAAATCGGCGCCAAAACCTGCATGTAAGGCTAGGTCGGCTAAGTCTAAAGCGAAAGCCCGGCGACCACCACGAAGCAGGTTCTCTGCAAGACAGATCCTGATGTCCTTACCCCCAGCAAATCGTTGAAGGTGGCATCATGACGTTTCTTTGCAGCAGCGGAAGTGCAAGGCGGACCCAGCCTACGAGGAATGGCCAGGATGGCATTCTGCTCGTAGCCGATGTCAGCAAAGACACCAAAATCACCGACGTTCACAACAACACCTGGGTTGAGCATTTTCTTTATCAAGTGTGTGCTACAGCTGATCTAACTCAACCATCACTGTGACCTTCGGCACAAGACAAGCTGAGCAAGTCTGGGCACCGTCGATGCGAGATTCTGCTTCGAGTTCTTCAAACTTCTTCCCTGGCGGCAACGCAGAAGAGCACGAATCTGTACCCCAGAAAAGCTAAGGGAAATGCATGGCTTTCGGTTTTCGGGAGTGTGTGAAATCATTGAGCACATCTTTGCCCTTGCAAGTAGGAGGGTCCAACAAGGCCGGTGCTGTAGGAGCAATGCTGGAGTTAGTGTACCTCACGCCCATAGCCCAACTCGGGAACCTCAACCAACAAGCGGATGCAAAGTATCTCCTGACGTCCTTCTAGAGTAACTGGCCACTGGCACCTGGCAGTGTATCAGTATATCGTATCGGACATCCTCAATATGTCCGATCACGGAACGCGAGAGTACGTTCACATCGAGAACTTAAAGATTTCAAGTTAGTGGTGTCCCGATTCTGCAAGCAAGCGAACGCTGGGAATTCTCCGTTCTGTGAAACGGTCTTTGCAACGCGTCTCTGATCTCGTGCGGCACTGGTTCTTCTTGAGGCACAAAAGACTTGCAAATGCCACCCACAAGGAAAATCTGCTGTTATTTTAGGCTCTTCAGCAGAATCTGTAGAGCCTTGGTGTCACCACGAAGGTCAGCACCAGCATCCCCCAAGTATTCCCAGGTCACGATGGATCCATCCAACAGGTAGAGCTCATGACATCTTCAGGCCATGGCACCCTAAGTAAGCCCCACACTCTTTGATCCGCCCACATCCCAGAATCCCAAAGCACCAACTCTCACGTAAATCCCAAAATAACGCTTTACCGCTGAAGCCTTCAAAAACCCCGGTAACCCCGGACCCTCAACCCTAAACCGATGAACCCACTCCCAAATCCTAAACCCAACCGATTCTCAGATCCAAAATCGCAAACCTTAGACCAAACCCCAAATCTCTATCTCAAATCCTAAACCCTAAATTCAAGCCCTAAACCCAAACCCCAAGCCCTAAACTCAAATCCAAACTCCAACAGCCCAAACCCCAAAATCTAAACTCAACCCCAAACACCCAAATCTTAAACTCACACCGAAAACTTCCAAGTCTTAATTCAAACCCACAACCCGAAACCCAAACCCCAAACCCTGAACTCATGATGCTTCAGAGCCCACATTCCGGGGCCTTCCGGATGTCCCCAATTCGCCCGAGGCCTCTCTGTCCGAGGGGGCCTGTAGGCAACTCGTGAAAGTATATACAAAGTTTAGTAAATATATACACATATGTATATATGCATAATATAACATAAGAGAGTATAGCATGTACGTATGTTCTTAATTCTGTTGGTATTGCATCTAACAGATTATTATACAAACCAAGGTCGTGCTGTTTGGGGTCCTTTTTAGGGTCCCTTGCTTTCTGAAGCCGCGACACCGCGGAGTATGAGCACAAAGTCTTGTTAGGGTCTCACACAGTGACAGTGGCAATAAACTCGTTGAGGCAGTGCACTTGCAAATAAAGGCAGTACAACAGCTCCTTTGTTGAAGGAATGGTGTGTGAATTACAACTGTATGAGTATGGGCGATGCAACTGCATGATGGCAGCATTGGTGCGAGAAGCACATAGCGGTCTGCCAACAAGAGCATGGTGCTAGAAGGTCTGAACGATGTAACGACTGTAGCAACTTGCTGCGGTCTGCTCCAGGGGTTTGCTTGTCTGGGGTTTATGCCTTTTACACAGGCTCTACGAACAGCAGGTGTCAATAACACGCCCATGGGCATGGTGGAGCATGAATTGCTTCAGACAGTTGCAAACTGTTTTGTGGCTGATCGTGAGGTTCAAGCACACCGTATGCTTGAGTCAACGCCATGGCTTTACAGGATAGCCGGCTCTGCGCATCCGACACTGCCAACCTCTGTCAACGCTCAGCGGAACCAACTCGAAAGCCTTATTCCCACATCCAGCATAAGCCCCTCTTGGCTCAACGCTGTATCAATCATCCTGGAACACAGCCCTTATTCCTACGTGGCTCTCCAGCCCCTAATCCTGTGTGTATTGAAAGCCCGACACCCTTGGCTCTATACAACCCTACAACCTTCCAAAGCTGACAAACTCAATTCTTACAGCCTGAAGCCGGGAAATTTTGTCCCCATACAAACCCCAAATAAGAATGCACCGTGATAAGCCCTAATTGTGAACGCCCTACAATCAACTCCAAACCTTAACCCCAAAACACTAAGGGACCTCCTCGCTCCCCGGGAAGCGGTGGAGGAGGCTCGGCGAGGGCGGCGTTTCGGCGGAGCTGCTTCCTCGAGCGCAGGCTCTAGCAGGGGGTCTTGTAGGGCTGTAGTTACGAAGTTTTGATCAGGAAGTGTGGGGCTGTAGAGAGCTCCAAAAAATTCAGGGCCCAAGTCAAGGATTTACGGCTTGAGGGTTTCAGCTTGCACTTTCGGAGATGATCTTCTGTGCCTGCTCGGGCTTCTAAAAGCACTTGGGTTCTATGGTTCCGCTGAGTTTTGCGGAACACGCATCCACCCGTAACTTGCGTGCATGGGCTATAACATAAGTCGCCTGAAAGGTGCTGAATGCAAAGACATATCGAACATGCGCGTGTGTGCGTATACAAGCATACCGGCGTTGCAAAACGACTCTTCTCACAACCTTAGCAGTAGTGAAGTACAGCCCGATGCACGTGCTGCAGTATGATAGTATGATACCACAGGAGCATGAAACCGCATAGCACACCACAACATACCATAAGTTACGATTGGAGTGGAGGACAGATGATCATACGATAAAACCCCACATTAAACAAGAACAAACTTTACGAGTTATCATACGGGAAAACCCCTAAACCCTAAGCCCTCAACCCCCAAACCCTCAACCCCTCAACCCCCAAACCCCTAAGCCCCGCCTGGCTCGGGGGCTCCTCGCGAGGTCTCCCAGGGGCCGAGGAGCTGCGGCGCACGGGGGGGCTGGGCGGATCAGCCTCCTCCGCTGTTTGAGGGTCGTTTTAGAAGGGTTCGGGTTTAGGGTTCAGGGCTCTTAGGGTTTAAGGTTTAGGGTCCCCGGTGTGCCGGGCGAAAGCGAACTAAAAAGTAGACTTGAAAATTGGGGGGGGGGGTGGGGGCATCTTATCTTGGGGTCCTTAGAATAAGGATCCTACTATCTGGGGTACCATGTTAGGGCCCCCTATTGTCGGAAGATGCATCTTATACTATGATTATAGGGAGCCCGGTAAGGAATAGAGTATCCAATTGTTGTGAACACTATGTTAGATGTAAGGTGTTCGGGTTGATATGGCTTCGAGGGCTCAAGGGTTTAGGGCTCATGGATTTGAGCTTAGGATTTACAGGGCTCATGGGGCTTTTGTTTTGCAGAGACTTGACTTCAGGGCTTAAGGGTTTAGAGGTTTGGGCTCAGGGTTTATAGGGCTTGGGTTCAAGGATGCTTAGGATTTCCCGGTTCTATAGGGCTTCTTTGGCTTGTTGGGTTAATGGTTAGGACTCCTCCTCTTCGCGGTTGGGTTTAAGTAGGGCTCTGTGGTTGCAAAGCTTGGAAGCACATCAGCCCTGTTTCCATACGGAGCAAGCCAAACATTGACACAATCGGCATTGCGAAACAAACACTGTCTCACGAAGAACCGATGCATGCAATCACATCCTCTCTATATCGCACAGCATATGCGAAATACTTTTTTATCCGAACCTATCCATAAACTATCGAGCACAGAAGCAAGAGCCAGGGTAGCGACAGACAAGCAGAGAGACAAAGAGACTCGAAATCAAGTCAAACCTTTTGCTTTATCAGGCCCTACTGGAGTAAACCCCAACGTCTGAAGCAGCGCAACTCTTCCCGAGGGCCTTCGGCCGACCGCGCGAGGCTGGCCGCCTGCGACCTTTGCCTCCTTGCGGGATGGGGAAGCAAGTTCCAGTGGAGTTCTGGAGAGGAGGCTCCACTTAAAGGTCTGGAAAGTCATTGGCTAGAAAGTGCTAAAAAAACGCACACAAGAGCCTCGCTTTCTGTGACTCATCCCTCAAGTCAACTGATGTCAAGTGCCGCGAGCACTGCGCTCGTAGCCTTCATGCTGCGGCAGACTGTGCTGCGATCTTAGTCGTGTCAGAATCCCAGAGGTGGACCAGGCAAACAGTCTCAATCACTCTTGGCATGTTTCGTTAAGCCAAAGCCACGGCGGCTCCGTAAAACAGCAAGAAGACGACAGTTAAATCTGCAGCGAGAGCTCGCGTAGTGCATTAAACTACAAGTACAGGTTTGCAGCACAGCAACGACGCCGAAAGGAATGCAACCGTCATGCAACGTCGTCGACACTGACGACGATTTCGTCATGACAGTCACAGTCGAGGCATAAGCAGCAACACAAACTTCAGCAGCAACAGCAACAGCAACGGCAACAACAACGGCAACAACAACAACAGCACCAGCACCAGCACCAGCACCAGCACCAGCACCAGCACCAGCACCAGCACCAGCACCAGCACCAGCACCAGCACCAGCACCAGCACCAGCACCAGCACCAGCACCACCAACAACACCATCACCACAACCAACAACAACAACAACATCAACAAGAGGAATAACAACGAACACGACATTCGCAACCCAATCACTGCACAGGCTCACTAAAGCTGACAGCACCAGCACCGGCAAATCCATGACCACTATTCACGGACGGGCTACAACACCCATACATAAATCGAGGGATGCATGAGCAGGATGCCGTGCAATAGCAGTACACCTTACGAATAATTATAGAGACTGAGCGAACTGGGGTAGTATGGCGGCACCTGGCCTTTGCCTTCTCCTTTGCCTTCTCCTTTTTCACCTTTTTCCATTGCCAAAGCAGCAGCCCGTGCTTGCTCTTCTTCCGCCTGAAAGTCACAGGTCAGAACTTAGATTTGGAGAATTGCCGGAAGTGGAGCTCTGAGCCACCACGACGGTTACATGTTCCGGGCTTCTCCTCAACCTTTTACTGTGTGCGCCTCTGTTGTCAGTCTTTGCAAGTTCCCAAGTCATTTTGAACTCACCGTATAAGCTCTTGCATGCCCGTGTACCTACAAGTTCTGAAGCTAAGATTCTAATGTCAACCCTGAACCCTGCAGGCTCAAGTGTCATCCATGGCACCAGTCTCATCCGTGGAATCATTCACCCAGAAATCCCAATCCCTGCGAGCCCACACTCTCAGCACATGACCCAGAACCCATAGTCCCTGTAGCCGTAAACCGGAAACCCGCAGATGAAAAGAGAATGCCCATTAGATTTACAAAGATCAGGCCTGTGCGTGAGATCGTTTCCACAGGTAACTCGCAAAAGTTGAGCCGACGGCCGCAGGAGAGGTTCTTCTGATGCTCTTCTTAGGCTCATGGGCAAACCTTACGAGTGGCGCAAAAGTAACTCAACGAGGAGTCGCGGTAGGGTTCTGATCTCAGCTCGACAGCGAAGCAGTTTGGGGTCCCAGCTTCTGTACCGGTAGGTGGGCTAGCACATATACACACAGCCAGACTGTCCCCTATCGGTCTCCGCTACTTTCGACTTTCGACACTCCTCGACCCATCTCACTACCAATGCGCGAGAAAGGGCCGTGCACAAACGAGTTCCTGAGTCTGCGAACGAATCAGCAGAGATGTACAGGCAGCAACGAAGGGACAAACAGACAAGCAATAAATAAAAAAACAAACAAGCAACCAAGCAAGCAAATACACAAACAAACAAGCAAAGAAAGAAACAAACAAGCACACAAAGTCACAAAGAACCACTGTATATGCAAATTTGTAGAGTCTAGAGAAATTGTTGGTATGCTGACGTGCAACAAGCTTTGCTGGCTTGGCCTCTGCCCAAGATCTGTACCAGGGACTACATCTGTTCTGTTGGTCTGACTTCGCCTGTACGGACCAGTCTCATGCGTGATCATCGAAACATCTCCGCATCGTAACTGTGTGTAGATGCAGTGCTCAACAACTATGTCATTCGTCGGTGATCTCGCCGGGTAACACAGGCCTCGCAATCTTTGTGGTGCCTGCCTACGAAGGAAAATCAGAGATCCAAACAATCCTGCTGCACGAGAGCATTTGCTCAACCGAAGACACCGCACCTAGCTCGTAAAAAATATCCTTGTAACTGGGGCCTGACGTATTGGGTAGGGTGTGAACTGTACCCCTCTCTGAGCAGTCCGGAGCTTCACATGTTCACTCCGCCGGCAAAGAAGAAACACCCAAAAGGGGAGTCTCTCGAAAATGAACCGAGGCAATGCGATGCAGTGAGAGCAACATCTTCACCGTCTACACCCTTCACTGAGTCACGGTCGCCCTGGCCCTATGCGGCCAGGCCGAGTTCACTCAGGTCCTCTCAAGCTGACGTTGAACCAGGTCCTTGTAAACCTGCACGGCAGGCCCCGAAGAACAGGATCAATCCCAGTAGTGTCAGAATATGTAATGGCCTGCGGCTTAGGATCGAGCTGCTACAACAGAAAATGATGACTCGGAACATCAGCGCTTGAATCCATGTAGGAATTCAATCAGCAAAAGACAGTCCTACGATAGCATCCTTGCCCTTCAAAGCTGGCGTCGTGGTTGGCCTGGCCCTTCGCCAGCAGTTCCTCATGAGTCCCGGTCTCCACGCACTCGCCAGAGCTAAGAACAACCTCCGCGAGAGGAGACTGCACCAAACCCGTGTCTCTCTTGCCCGGTGCTACTCAGTTCGAATGGACCCCAGCGAGCCTTGATTACACTTGTGGCTGCTGCGGCAGTTCAGCAGACATCCGGAAAACTATGGGCAAAAGCCCTGAGAGACCAAGGGCCGAAGGGTCGGGATGGGAGCTCAGGCGCTCAGGCTCCCACAATGCGATCTGCATCTTTCACGGTAGACAGGCGGTGAGCCACCACCTGAGACGGGAGACCCTGAGCTCTGAGCTCCTACCGTCTTCTAGCGCTTCTGCTCTGCACTGATGGTAGGCCGCTTTCAAGGAGAAAAACGGAGTCTATAGACTCTTATTCCAAGTTGTGGGCGCTAGCGAAAAACTTATAACATAGAGTTGCATGGACGCAGCGAAAGCTCCAACATTGCAGCTCTTAAGCCAAGTGGCGATGAAGGTTCGTCCGCTTCGCTGCTCCATCAGTTGGTTCAAGGCCTGGGCTACATGATGTTGCGTGTACATATGAAACCTGACATAGAATTCTATCTCAGCTGATGGCCTGCTGCACGATGCCTTCGGATTCTGCATCCAGAGCAGATGTGGCCTCTCCAAACAGCGGAATAAAACGATCTCTGCGATTCACAAGATGTGCCTGGCACTAGCAACTATGTGTGCGCATTACTATTTGTTTACATACACATATACAGATACATGCTAAAGCAAACTATCAAGTTTTCAACAATTGAACATATGGAATGCATGCATTCATGCGTGCATGTAGGCCGGCATGTGAGTATGCCGGCATGTCTGCATGTCTCTCTGTCTGACTGTCAGCCTCACTGTCTGTCTGTCCGAGCGAGGTATGCACGTGCTCAGCTATTGCCCGGTCGCACTGTTCAAGTAACAAAGCATCGGCCAAACCGCAACCCTGTCATGTAAGCGTTCAAACGAATCATTCGACATGCGTGGCATGTCGTCAGTCCAGCAACTACGAAGACCCGGAATACTCTATATTACGTTCGGGTGGACCGGGACAGAAGCGGGACAAGGTAATCAATGAAGCAAAGCTTTTTGCACATGGCTTCATGGTGTCATCCAGTAGTCAGGGTGCGTCACATGTCGGCTGTACAGAAGGACGCGGCGGGCGCAAAGCACCGTAGCTTCCAAGTGCTACTCAGGAAAAAGCTTCTGTGGGCTCACAGAAGTAGATTCCACATGGAGAGACCAATCTTGAGGGGAAGCCATTTGCATCTTCAGAAACACTGCCGTGGATGAGCACTCAGGCTGAGCAAAGCAGGTGGATAGGCCAGGGGCATAGGCTTGAAGAAGGCAAGTCGAAGCTCATCACTGGCAGTGTTGAAGTCCCGGAACCGATGCTTGAGATGATTTCTCACTATGTGAGATTGTGCTGCCTCGACGAGCATTTAAGATGACAGTCAAGGGTGGCTTCCTTTAAAAAAGGCCAAGTAAACAGCTTAAAATCGACATGCTGAAAAGAAGAACAACGAGCGGAACTATGACCATAAGATGTTGAATCCATGCTGTGTTTGGCTGTCTCCTGACCCACTACTAATCCGTCATGGTCGCAGGCGGCTGATTTTCCAAGGCCGAGCGAATGCAAACTTGCCCGACTCGCCTCAAAAAACTCCATCTAAAGGGTTGAATGTCAAACTACGCCTGTTGAGATGATTTGTATGTTGGCAGATCCACGAGTGCTGGTGCTCCACTTGGGACTCTAGGCGGGGTTGCATCCGATCGCACAGCCTCCACAACCACTAACAAAGTCGGCCTGGCTTACAGGCTGTCAGCGGCACGAGCTCTGGCGCAGCTATGTTGAAAGAACTAGGTTTTTTGTCTAGAGCAAATTAAACATCCCCGGAGCTTCTGAGGGGATCATGCTTCATGGACGCGGCTGCGCACAATGGAACTAGCAAGTGCACGCCACCAAAGTCGATGACACCTCATGCACCAGCCTATACTCCCTGCTCGAACAAACACACGTGCATACATATGTAAATGTCAGTAGGCGAAACACCTGCGACCATTACTGATTCGGTGGCACGCTCACTTTTGGTTTGAAGTTGACACACCCACATACAAACATGCAACTATCGAGTAGACGAATGCAAGCTTCTGGAACCGCAAATCGACAGACAAACACACACACACACACACACGCACGCAGACATTGCCGCAACACGGTGTGGTCATATTAACTATGGGCTGTCAACGTTCTCGGAGTCCAGACTCAACAGAGATCGTGATGAATCGTGGTTCCCCACCTTGGGAGCATGTGATCATTGTAACTTCCAATCCTTTGCTGCGTTGTTCTGCAACTTGACGATTCGTGTTCCTGCCACGATTCCGAGCACATTTTGTGTCTTCGGGGTGGAAATCGTGCTCCCACCAAAAGACCGTGAGCATTTTGGCGTTCAAAAGCGTGCGAAGTCCCTAAAGCCCTAGCAGCACGCGCCGCACTCCTCGCCTCCGCAGCTTCCTGGTGTGGTCGCGAAACCCCTGCGCTCATAGGGGTTCATAGTACTTTGGGCGAATTTCGAATCTCGAAATTGAACTCCTGCAGCAGTGCTGTAAAGATTTTGGAGTGTGAGCCGTCGAAATCGGCCTCACACGAAGCCCGCCAGAAGGCCGTGCCCGCCTCCAAAAATCGCTTTCCCGGCGCAGTCCTACATGGTTCTCGCGGTCCTTTTGGTGATCCTTTGGTCGTCGTGGTCGTCCTGGCATTTATGTAAATCTTTTAGGAGAGGGAAAGGGGTACATGACTTCCATTGCTTAGAGCTCCATGCTGTCATATTTCAGCTACATACAGTACATGAACAAGGTCGTAAACACCTAAGTAAACGACGATAAAATAACAGCAGAAGTACACACAAATGAACAAAGCACATGCTATGCATGCATGTATGTATGTATGTACGTAGGTATGTATGTATGCACGGATGCATGTCTGTATGTGTATAACTAAGTTATACATGTGTATATATATATGTACATAATTGTACATACATATATACAGTTATATACACAAGTGTCTGTGTATGTATGTATGTATGTTATGTATGTACGTACGTAGGTATGTATGTATGTATGTATGTAGAGACATGTGTTTATGTGCTTATACACACATACACACATGCATACATACATACATACATACATACACAGCTACCTACCTAGCTACCTACCGACGCAGGTGCACACATAGGTACATACATAGTTTCAGATCTGACACCTCAACTTCATATACCAAAGCTCACGGGACGTGTCTGACAGCTTCAGGCACGCCAATAAAATCATGCCACTCACCGACATTCATTCACGGGCCTCACGAAGGGGAAGTTGCGACAGCAACCGTGCAAGAATTCTACTCGCAGTTCATCGCTTCCCCCGTTATTGGGATACGACCCTCATCTTTAAGATATTGCTCCGTCTCGGAAACTGATCGCCGCGGATCATACTAGAGTCACTAGCTTCAGAGTTTGGAGTTGTAGCTATAGGCTTGGGATTTCGATTTGGGTTTCAGCGCTGCAGATTGAATCTGTGCACAAGCCTCAAACTCAACTCCGAACGAAGTAACTACTTCTAACCACGGTATGATACGGCTGGTTTTGACTCATGATTCTGCTTGCTATCTTGAGTGCTACAGGTCATCACATCTCCAACTGCGCCTATTCCCTGCATGGGAGGGAGCGTTTTCATACTAGGAGAAGAATTATTTGCAAAAGTGCTGCTCATGGCAGCCACAAGGTACGCCCCGCAAAAGTGCATGGACTTGAGCTTGAGAAAGTTCCCCCTGATCCAGGGTCTCTTCGACGCAGAAAACCCGGATTCTGAAGCTGCTCAATGTGGCTCACGCTGACCGCTGCGACTCTTCGACTTCGTGCTGTCAGAACATCCTCGCGGCTGCAGTCCCGCGCTTAATGCTGGCTAGGCAAATGAAGCGGCGGCATTTCGTTTGCTTGGGTTGTGGAGTGTGGTGAAACCTGGCACTTGGAGTGATTCGGTTAGCCGTTTGCCCCCACCTGCGTGTTCGACCGTGCACCACGGGCCCTTCACGAAGAAAGAGCCTCAACCGCAACCACAACTTTCCTGATCGTACTCACCACGACAGATCGGTCCTACCATGACATTAGCCTACATCTCTCGCCAGTTTATGATCAGTCCTGCCGCTTCCCCCGGTCCAGCATACTCCATGGAACGCCGCCAATTGATAGCAAACCGCAGCCTGTGTGGAGAAAGCTCGATTACCTGACGGACGGATCGCTGATCAATTTTCGTCACCATGTCCGAAACATCCGATCGTGTGGGCAATGCGAGGAAGTCACGTGCATGTAACATGGGGGTCTTCATACTTAATTTTACAGGGTTGTAGTTAAGTACAATCGAGAGTATAAGGGATTCATATTACCAACTACTCAGGCTTCTATAGCATACCCGAGGCCAGGGCTGTCCTTGCGGATCTTCTCCAAGGCATCCAAGTGTTTCTCGTGAAGAAATCGTCTGGGCTCCAGTGGCCGACTCAATGGCTCCAGGTCCTGCAGAGGACTGCGGACTCTGTGAAGAAAGCACTTGACAACAATCTGAATCAGCAAACAAGCCGCATATGCTGTTAGCATAATGTGCACTGCATATATGTATGTATATATATATGTATATATATATATATATATGTATATATATATATATATATATATGTGTGTGTGTGTGTTGCCGCGCGTATGTGTCTATCGTCCCACGCAGCTGGCAGGATTTCAACAGAAGGACAGTCCTCTGGACACGTCAAGGAGTAGAATGAGTTGAAGATCGCACCACCTTCCTCCCCGCGGGAGCAGATGCACTGGTTTCGATTGAACTGCAAGGAAATGGTTTACGTGCACTGGCTGTCAACTTTCTGGTTGTTGTTCGTCATCGCATCAGAGACATCCTCGCCAGCAGACTTTCTGGCAAGTGGCAAGTGTTCCGAAAGGAATGGTGCCCTGCGTCTGCATGCCAGGCTGTTTCGGGCTTCTCCATGCTACATTTAAAGCTGCCTTCACTGGTTACTGAATTACCTGATGACACATCCCGGGCCTCACATGCGTCATTTTCAACGCCCGCGTTGCGGGCCGCCGCACTGGAGTCCAACCTGCTCTGCAGTGTTGGTGGTGGCCGATCTTCCGCCAGGACCTCTTCCGGCTTTGAAGGAGCCTTCAAGTGGCTCAAGGATTCGCCGAAGCAGAAGTTCACCAGGCGGCCATCCGCTACAGCCATGGCTATGGGGAACAATCAAAGCGGCTGTGATCCAATGCAGCATGAATGCAAAGCACGTCAGGTCTGGACTGCCAGGGATGAGCGGTAGCCGTGCCTTGAAGCGCTGCACTCTACACTCGCCCGGAGATTTCCGAGGCCCTAGGCTAATGCAACAAAGAGGTCTCGACTTTTTTGCTTTTATGCGTAGCAAGGCGAGCTTCCTGTTTGCTCTGTAGCGAACATCACCTCGGGATTGAGCTGCTTCTCGTCTTGGCACGCGAGTACTTTGAACTCCAGAGCGTAAAGCTGCGTCTGCAGGCTGCGCGTGCTACGGTGTGCTAAACACAGCCTAGCCGCCAGTGCGCTAGATTCGGGCATCAAGGTGAACCATTCCGTTGCTTGAGCTTCTCCAGCAAGTAACGGAATGTATTTCCTGGGTCTATCTGACGGCATGCCAGCAGTCAAACAACTATGGTGTCGGAAGTGGGCTTTCAGGTCCGCAGTATTGCTGCCGAATCTCTTGATGAAGAATAGTCTGCATCATCAACCTGAAGTCGATGCAGCGAAAGACGCTCTCAGCGGTGCAATTCAGGGTGTGCAAACTCAGGGGCTTCTTGAGCCAAGCAACGAGACATTCAAGGACAGTCCTTGGAAGAAGTGTGGGCTTGGTGATTGTGGCCACCGCAAATCGCTCCAGATTTAGCAGCACGTGATGTTCACAAGGAGGAGTCTGACCCCCGTCGGCTTGACAGCGAGCTTGTGGCTGTGACTCAGAAAGCCCTGGAAACCGAGAAGCAGAAGCAGACGCGATCTGTTCATCCGAGTCCTAGTCTGACTTCACAGCAGTCGCCCTGCGAGGCCAGCGAAAATTTCAACTGCTACCTTAACCCCAAATAACCTATCTTTTCAGGACTTATAGAAGGAAATCATAATAGGGCACCCTAAAAAGGTGGGTTCTTTGGGGTCCAGATATTGGCTGAAAGGCCATTGGCTTTGGGCCGGCGTCTACGGACCTTAGAAGTTACTCTGCAGGGAGAAGTGCTCTGGTTGGGGCTCGGGTCACTTCTCCATGCTGGCGAGGCCTTCAGCGTTCAGCAGACCTACGAATTTCAGAAGGCGATCAGCTACTCAACCCCACCAATGCGGTCGTATTTCGAAAATTGATGTCTGACCCGAAACCATGGCAATCTTTTGCAACGCTCAAAATGAATGGCCTTTTAGGTGAATGGCCTTTGAAGAAACGGCCGCACTTGGCTATCACTACTACCCTGCGTATGTACAAGTTATGTATAGCCGATTATAGATTAGCCGGGTTGCTTCACTTTCACCTTCCCCGCCAGTGTAGCCAGCAGTTCTGGCAAGCCAGCCCCGGTGAGGTGTCTTTGTTGATCGAATGGGCAGAAGACCTCGGTACAGACACTCACAGGATAAGTCCAAGCGCAAGTTCGGAGCATATGCTGGCGCTTCGCTGCTGCTATCAAAACAGAAAACTCCAATTTCCAGGCTAGGTTTATTCGGCTCACCAATTTCCCCTCCAAAAACAAAAAACAACAACACATCACTCTTAAAACAACAGTTCGCCGAACCAACCACTGGATGCTAACTAACTGGTTGATGCATTCCTTGAGGCCACGGCCATGCTTTCCACTGACGGTGTCAGTGAGCAGCTCATCCTCGGAAGTGTAGTTCACTTCAATGCGGGCGTCTTGAATAATGTTGATGTACTGTTGACACGGCCGGTATTTCCGGCTGATGAAGGTAATGCGCCGCCGAAAATGTGACTGCTGGTCCGTTCACGACTTACCCTGGTAAGCTGTATGTCATATCATCATATCTTAACTGTGGTGTGTGCGCATCTAACCTCAGCTTACATGGAACTCGATGCAACACTGCGCAAAATCTACTACGTCTCTAATCTAGCTCCTTCCAGAATGTGGTACCTATTCCTGAACCTTCATGCCCTAAACCCAGAACCAGAATTGCGGTGATCCGTGAACCGCCTGCACTTCGCCACATGGTCGAACATGTGTCTGATCTCTACAAGTCCGCGAATCCAGCCTTAAAGGGACTGTAAAAAGAACTGATGACCGATGACTGAGATCAAGACCCCAAGAAGAACAGCTGAACATCCCAAAGTCGACATTTCCTAGCTGTAGGAGGAAACAACGAGCTTGGTGAGAATCCACCGCTACAGCTACAATGACACCCATAGCCGTAGCCACTAGAACTCCACTGGTCTGTCATCACCATCACGGCCATGGGCTTGATAGAGTCGGTGCGAGTCAAGGGGCCACTGGATCACGAACTTGAGTTCCGAATCGCCTCCGAAGGCTCCGCAGCCCCAGAGCCCCGTCACGAACTTCCTGCAACGAAAACAGAAAGGGAGCAGCTTGTCTTTCATCAGAGCTCTGCCACGAGAACCATGCAATACGCTGTGCACCAGCAGATCTGCCAGTTCTCTGTCACTGCCTCCACTGCTGCAACTATAATTTATTAGCTGGTTCTGCTCGCGTCATCCACGTTACTGCTGATGCTTGTATCTTGCCAATGTTCTGCTAGGGCATGGTGTCTTGCTCCCAGATTTGCTGCGAGGGCTCCTTCGTCCCGTGCCAGCGTCTGGCGCCAGCGCCGCACAGCACTTCCTGAGAAAACGGTCTCTAATCTTGTAGACTTAATCACTAAATTCGACTTGCTTTTGGGGTATGCTAAAGCATATCTACAAAGGTTATTGTTCATCACGAAATCTTCACACCTCAATATTCTTCGATGGAAGTCCTTGTAGGTTTGGTTCCGGATCTTGGTTTGGGGAACAGGGGTTCACAAAGCGTAGGTCGTAATCCTATCCTACGGTGCTTGGTCTTGGATCTTGTCTGGAGGATTCCGAGATCGAAGACTGATTCTCCGAGACATCGACTCTTAACGTTCTTTCTGGGGGACTTAAGAGACCGTCATGGCCGAAAAAGCATCGCCAGCCACCCACTTTTCAACCGTCTTCTATGGGCAGATCACTGTGTCACCGCTTTGTCAGGGCGAGGTGGCCTGCCATGACTTTCTGATGCCTTGCGCAACCCCAGGTGTTCATCCAAGCCGAAATACTTTCACTGCTAACGGTGAAGACACTTGACTCCGAAAGCCAGTGACCAGTCTCTGCTTCTTGTCTTCCCAGCCCGAGACAGACCTGGCGGATAGATAAATAAACGTCTCCCTCCCCCTCTCTGTGTTTACTTGTAGCCAAGTTTCTGGACCTCTCGTAGTATTTGCTCGCCAGCATACTGGAAGTACCCTGGCTTTCTCCGGTAACCTCGACATGCAGCAAGGCATTTCTCAAATGTAAAGAGATGCCAGGCAAGCTGTGCCTGAGCTTAAGACGTCTCAAAGCAGTGACCTGTATTACATGCCCTCACAGGGCTTGCACCAGTCCAGTACGGTGATCTAAGCTCCGTCCAATGAAGTACCATTGTGTCTCCATCCGGGGGGCTGATCGCGTCCAAAGCTACCTTGCATGCGAGGTCCGATCGCATGCTGAGCAAACAGAGTGAACAGTGCAAAGTCAGGCAAAATCCAAGTCCTGACCTATATATTCTTATAAGCCATATCGACTACTGCTCTACCACTACATGACCTAAGTATGCGACTTTCTCAGATCCTCAGAAGTGCTTCGGGAACCGCAGGCTGCTTCTTGAGCCGGCCAATCTTTGCAGAAACATCACTTAAGCTGATAAGAAGGTCTGCATCCCCTCGATGCAGGAGGGCTGCTGCCACAATCGGCGGTCCAATGGTGGCCGCAGGTCTGCAGAATTGCTCATCTCTCTTCGTGTGCCTTCCTGCCCCCATGTTGTGCTCCACGAACTTCCTGCCAACCACAGGTGCATCCAGATGGCAGGAGCCAACTTCGGAGTTGAGGTAGCAACGAAAGCTTGAGGCAGTTAGTTGGCAGCGGCAGTGCAGATCACCCCAACATGCGCGTCCGGCTGTAACACACACTGTAAATCCGAAACTGGCTGGTGTCCTCGCTCCAACCATTTCCACAGCCTCATGTGGCAGCATCCTCCTGCGCAGGGCACATGCTGGCATGTTTGAAAGGCCCACCGAAGGTACATTTGCTCAACGAAAGCCATTGCGATAAAAAGACTGCAGCAAAGTTTGCTGATGTCAGCCAAGTGGCTCAACGAGATAGATGCTGGCAAGCAGCTCTGGAAACTCCACGAACATACACTCCTCCTGTGTCCCACCTGGACAAAGGAATCACCCAACACCGGCGCTACAGCTGTCTGCAAGCCCATGGCGGGGAGCATGGCATACACCGTGGTCGTGCCGTTGCCTCCACTCAGAACTCCGCCGCCGAGGTATTGATTCGCAAAGTCTGCTTGCAAATGGTTCGGGCCTGCAGCTCAGCAGAGGCAAACAGCTCGAAGTGAGCACCCTTCTGCCTCTGCCCAGCATCTTGAATGTCCGACTAAACATAACACCGGTAATAGACGGGCGTCCGTCGAATCCGTGGATGGACACGCCGTCCTGGAATGGAACAGGGAACCAAGGTCGCAGAGCCCCAGGAAAGCTTCATGTCGCAGGCTCCCGTCCCCTTACCAAGACCGAAGGGTAGCCCGAAACCACCCTGAGCCATTACCATACGGATCAATATCGAATGGTCAACCACAACGAACAAAACAAAGCGCCCTTCGCCCTGTATAATCCGAAATTGCGTGCCAACAGTGATCCTAAGAAACACAACAGCTGCGCAACGCATGTTCTCCTGCTGCATCTCCACTGCGCAGAAAACTTCGTCACCAACTCGGTGGGCTCCGAAAGCCTTGCACAGCGTTCAGATTATCTGCAGTAAATGTCAGTCACTGCATTGCACGTAAAATGAACGGATACGGAATGAAAAGCTTAACGGTTCACCTGTCCACACAAAGGTCAAGGTAAAGCCGATGAGGGAGGGACTCGTCTGGATTCTTGATCTGATTCAGTCTGCCGTAGCCGCGTTGGCTGACATACAGTAAAGCTGCCCCACCTTCCTC